TCAGCAAGGATGAGATGCTGAGCATGATCAGACACGGTGCAGATGAAGTGTTTGCCTCCAAAGATGAAGAAATTACAGACGAAGACATCGATGCCATCATGAAGAAAGGAGAGAAGAAGGTGATGTGTATTTTGTAATAAACAGATAAAGACAGATGATTCATTTTAGGCTCTGTCGTCGAATAAAGAAATATTTTTTTTAATCAGCTACGAGCAAGATTTGAGGTTTACGATTTCAGGTCAAGAATTTGTTTTTCTTTAGTAACAAAATTTTGCTGTTGTGTTTGTTTTTAAGACTGCTGAGCTTGCTGAGAAGATGAAGCAGTTTGGCGAGAGCTCACTGAGGAAACTGGCCATGGATGCCCCAGCAGAAAGCATCTTCCATTTTGAGGGCGAAGACTACAAAGAAAAGCGTAAGGTGAGAGAATTAATTAAGGAGCGTGCTCAAAACTAGGGCGAACAATAAGAACTAACTGCTGGATAAGAAAATTGCAACAGAAATGCGATGGTTAATTTCCATAAAAAGATGCAGTTTCCTGGTAAGAACTAAAACCATACAACCAGGACAGCCAATGAAAACAAGAAGAAATATCTCAAGGGTCCAACAAGAAATTTAAGTGGAAATCTGTGAACTTCTTAAGTGGGTTAGTGGCGATTTGTTTAGTTTTTCATCGTTTTGGTGGAGACGGTGGGAAGAATTTCTCAGGTTTGTCATCGGAGGGAGTAAAGAATAAAAGTTGTCTTGGACTTAGTCTTTCGACCTAGTAACTGAAAATTGCTCCATCAGAGAAATTTTTTATTAAGTGTCGAAGGTAATCTGGGATTGATTTGGTTTTGCTCCATCTCGTTACAAGATTGGCCTAGAAAACTCGCGCCACTTTCTTAACCAATCAGGTTCAAAACTAAAACCAATCGCGACCAGCGTCTTCCCGCGCTTTAGGTAGTTCGCTTGTTTTTACTTTGAGTTCTCATTGGCTCCTGGTGATATTTTCCATGCTATGATTGGCCGTTGTGATTGCTTTGATTTTGGTGTCAGTGGACACGCTGTTGAAAGCGTGCTTATTGAGTTTGGTTTGTTTGATCTCTTTCAGTCTGGCGTTTTCCCGCACTGGATTGAGCCGCCTAAGAGAGAACGTAAAGCGAACTATGCTGTTGACGCCTACTTCAGGGAAATGCTGCGAGTTAGTGAACCAAAGGCGCCAAAGGTGGGAAAAATATGAGTAAACTAGGAATTTTTGTATAAATTTGATGATTTAGTTGTGTTGGGGATTGCGGTAGCTTAGTGGTCTTACTCAGTTCAACATTTACTGTTGAATGTCACAGCAACTGAACACGTTTTTCAAGCAATATTGAAGGCTTGAATTAACTGAGCTTTCGAAAATGTTCATAATTTATTTTTTAAATGTTTCTGCTCTCGTTCTTTCAGGCACCGCGACCTCCAAAGCAGCCTAACGTACAGGACTACCAATTCTTCCCACCGAGGCTGTTTGAATTGTTGGACAAAGAGATCTACGCGTACAGGAAGAGTATTGGCTACAAGGTGAGGGGCTCAGATAAAGAGTTCTTTTATGACCTAAGTGTTAGCCTCTTCTCTTTGGGAACCTTCGAACTCAAATTAGTACTAGCTATTAGTTTAGGGGCTCAGATGAATAGTCATGTTATGACCTCAGCGTGAGCTTCCGCATTCAAGGAACCATCAGAGTATGTCCATTGACATGGTGGTACCTCGTTTTTCTTGCTCACCTGACAATGTTTTTCTTGTGTAGGTTCCGAGAGACCCTGAAGACCCTCAAGGAGCAGAGAGACAGAAGGAGGAACAGCGGTTAATAGATGATGCTGAGCCGCTAAATGAGGAGGAAGCTGCCGAGAAAGAACAGCTCCTCCAAGAGGTATCTTTTATTTGTCTTTCGTTGTGACTGTTCCTTTTTCAGACTAGTAATCACTGCCGGAGCTGCCATTTCACGATCCAATGAAGAGAAAAAAGCACGTAACTCTCGCAGAGCACGGGAAATATGCAGTGAACACTTTGCAGCGAAGAAGTAAAATGGGTGCCAATCTCAGAAAGTCGAACGCATAAACATATAACCGGTGTCAAGCGCGAAATAACATCCAACCTTGTTAGCGCGGAATAACTTTAACCATCGGTATATTGCTGGAAACGTGTAACCGGTGCCGAGCGCGGGAAATATGTAACCAGTGTCAATCGCGGGAAAAGTTGTAACCGATGTCAAGCACAGGAGAAAACGTGGGAAAACGTGTGACCAGTTGTAAACGCGGGAAAATATTAGGTGTAAGGATTGTCAGGGGTGGATAAACGTATAACTAGTGTTACGTGGGAATAACATGTAACAGGTGTTGAGCGCGGGAAAAAGTGTCGCTAGCACCATGCGTAGGATAGCGTACCCAGCGTCAAGCGCAGGAAAAGGTTAGCTGTACACAGTGTCCAGCGCGGGAAGACACGTAGCCGGTGTCAAGAGCGGAAAACATGTAATCAGTGTCAGTCAAGCGATGGAAATATGTAAGCGTTGCAAAGCGCTGGAAAAGTGTTTTAGGGGTCCAGCTATGGGAACATGAAGCGAATGTCAAACGCGTAGAGAATTTGAAGCGCGGCAATGATTATTTGTATGATGTAACTCATCATCTCGTAACCTGCATTTCTTAATAGTTAAATATTACCTATTTTATTCTGTTTGAATCTAGGGCTTTACAAACTGGTCGAAGCGTGAGTTTAACCAGTTCATCAAAGCGTGTGAGAAGTACGGTCGTGATGACTTGGACAACATCTGCCAGGAAGTTGAGGGCAAAACTCCAGATGAAGTGCGGGCATATTCCGCTGTGTTTTGGGAGCGAAAAGACGAAATGACCGATATCGAGAAAATAATGGCACAAATTGAACGAGGTGAAGCCAAGATTCAGCGGCGAATCAGCATAAAGAAAGCGCTGGAGGCCAAGGTAAGAAATTCATCAAAGCGATCGAATCAACATTTGAAAGTTTGTTAAGAATTCCAGTACGTGTTTTCCGAAAGTTGTTGCATCAACGTTGTGATCTAAGATTGGGTTGGTCTGTAAAGGATAGTCTTACCAAATTGCACGCAATGTTCGCAATTTTTTCTTGAAAGCTTCTTAAAATTTCACCTTAAGCCTGAGGATGTAATCCGAAAAACTGAAGACAAAGAGTGAACGTCTATAGATGCAATTTGACGATCAGTCCAAACCGCTCTCTTTCCGTACCCTATTTTTGTGTGTTTTTCTTCGTGTTATTTAGAAAACTATTTACGCGGCAGATGCAGACTTTAATAACCGCTTCGGGATTGGGTTTTTAGTCAGGCAGCCAATTATTATAGGAATGGTACAAGTTTCCTCTGAAGACGAATCATCGGGGATAACAAAGTTACGCAATCCCAGATGCAATCCTAGATAACTTTCTACATCTAATTGGAAATTTATCCTTGCGTTACAGATGGCGCGTTATCGCTCTCCATTCCACCAGATGAGGATCGCATACGGAACAAACAAAGGAAAGAATTACACTGAAGAGGAGGATCGCTTCCTGGTTAGTAAGAAAGCTTCTTTATATTGGTTTAGATAAGTTTGTGCTACGTTGGCACAAGAACGTTCGCCATCTCCAAGGTAAATTCGCTCGTTCGCTCTATTCTTGTTAACTTTCTTCTTTAATTCGGTTGACACTTGTAAGAGATTGGCCTTTGCTCAACCAACTACAAATTTTACTGATATCTTGTTCGCTAACAGTTCAACTTCTTGGAAGAAGGCAACGAAAAGAAGAGTGCCTTTTGATTGGATGCTGTAAAAATTAAGGTGTGATTGGTCGAGAGAATGGCTCGAAATTTCTGAGCCAATTGTTGATCAAAGAGAAATAAAATAAATGCGATAATAGATTAATTTGGACATGTGATTGAAATTTGCCCTACTTGAATGCAAACTTGAAAAGTAATTAATGTCTATTTCTGACCTTTAGATTTGCATGCTGCACAAACTCGGGTTTGACAAGGAGAACGTGTACGAAGAACTGAGAATGGCTTGTAGAAGTGCTCCTCAGTTCCGGTTTGACTGGTTCCTGAAATCCAGGACAGCTCAGGTGTGGAAAACGCTCTCGATCTTTTATTTTTGTTAAGATTTAGGAAGATTTGAGACGAGTTGAGGCCTGGCACTAATAATCTCATGGTTGGTGCCAGACCTTTCGTGGGCTCGCTTTACTCAAGCACTCAGACTTTCTTGTGGGTTAAGAAACGCTGGTGTCGCAGCAGTAATAAAAGGAAGCTCGAAGGCTACAACTTATTTTGACGACTGTTGTCGTTACAGGAGCTTCAGCGCCGTTGTAACACGCTGATAACACTGATTGAACGAGAGATGATGGAACTTGAGGAGAAAGAAAAAGCTGAGAGAAAGAAACGAGGAAAGGCTGCTGGGGGAACACCCAAGGTAGGTGACACCTTGTGGGTTCTGATATGAAATATATGAAGGAGTGAAGGATCGACAAGCCTTAGTCTTATTTTGTCACCCGTTAATCTACCTTCCGCTTAAAGGATAGAAACACGCGAGGGGATTAGACCAGATTGCTAATGACGAACTTAGAAGCGTTTCCATCTGCTAGACCAATGAAAAACTAGGATTAATTTGGTGCGCCACGTGACTGTGTCAGTGCTCTCTGATTGTGTGAAAGTTTGATAATTAATCGCTGGGTCTTGAAACGTAAGAGCTACAAGGAAAAAACGAGTGGGAAGCGCCCTTCTATAGTACCTCCGATAAACTGCTTTGTGCATCTACTATTGCGACTTATTTCGTATTTTTCCATCGCAGGCTCAAACGCCGAACAAGGATGAAAAGAAAAGAAAGGCCGATGGCACTCCTGATGGGAGAGGTCGCAAGAAGAAGAAACAGTAGACAAATGACATCTTGAATCCTTATGAGAACAAAGAGGGAATGATCTTGTAAAATATTAAGCTTTAATCCGTTTTTGATTGGTGAATTTTTCCATCTCACTTGTATTATAGCAAACTTGTAAAAGTCTACTTGTATCGTTTAGCGCCGTCAGTTTTTCCTCTATGAAAGTAATTATCGAGTTCACCACGATTTTTTAGTTCACTATTCCAGGTATCAATCTCAAGGTGCAAGTCGGATGTGTCCTTTAGCAAGGTTGGGTCTTTTTCAGTTAGCGCATAAAGGATGATGTTTATCCAAGATTTTTAATTGTCAATAACGTAATAAAGGTGCCTCATTAATTTACAGATTATGAGTGATCTAAGCTGGTTGAAATAACACCATCTTTCCGCTTCCAAACGGAAACAAACAAAATATTCCTCACGTACCAAAGCCACGACTTTGAGAGAAAAGTCACTGTTATTTGTTCCTTGAAGCTATCACTTTTTCTGGAGCCCAACTATCCCGCAACCTAGGGATTGGAAGCTTTCGTTTATAATTGGAATTTCAGTGCCCAGATCTCTATTATTTTTAGCCGTGCACTGCTTGCGCAACAGTTTTCCTAAAGAGGAGACAAACCACTAGAAGAACTTCAACACACACAGGTCTAGAAACTGGTCTTTAATTATAAACTTTTGTTCTAGGCAACAAAAAACACCAAACAACTTATACACTTGGGACTTCCCAATAAACAGTAAGGTTGACTTGTTTAACTGACCTGATATTAAGAACCAACAAGTTAAGTGTTACTAACACTTGTTAGCCTCACTTAGACAAGGGCTTTTAGTCTTCAAAAATGAAAATTGTCTTGTCATTCACTGCCCATGCCAATCATATAAATCTCTCGTTCCACTGCTTACTTCCTCATCAGGTGGTCAGGTTTAAAAAATAGGCATTTCAAAGCCAAACTTGCTAATATTGATGTGATTTTATGTTAAATTGTCTCAACTGATTGCAAAAAATTGAATGGAAAAATAAATGATATTTAATAATTGGGAAGCAAATACTCCAAGAGTTGAAAGGTGCTCTCTGAAATATAAAGCTCTGAAGGCAGAGCTTCATGTCATTGTAAACGAAACTTTATCTTGTATCTAGAACTTTAGCAGCAATGGAGTCCTTCAATTTGCTGGCATTGCAAAATGTTGGTATGTGAACTCAAACAAGCCATAGTTGCCATCAAACCAATTGATTTAATGATTCCTATCAAATTATATTCATTTTCAGTTTTCTTTGCTATTGTAGAAAACACAAACTGGATCAACACTTTGTTTTTAATATTCTTGGTGTTCTTTTCTTTTCCCTTCTCCTTCTTTTCATGAGCCAAGCAGACACATCAAGTCATTATCTGCCAAGCATTGCAGCAGCAGGCCCTTTTATGAAACTCTGTCTTTAACCAACAGCATTCCACTTTTTGTGAGTTTAAATAAATTGCCGTGTTTTTTCCAGTTGTATTAATTGTTTCTTGTAAAATGGACAATTTCAGGCTGAAGACGATTGAGGAGGGTATTTGTGATGATACCACTCCACAAATTCATCCATAAGAACTGGCCCTAAAAAAAAAAGGAAATTGTTATTGATCAGTCTTAAAGAATTTCAAAATTTGATTGTCTTTTTTTTGGTTCTAATAATAATTAGAAGACCATTCATTTATTTTTTTTCAGCAAAGCTCATGAACAACTTATCATCAATCTCCAAGATAACACTCCCTATAAATTTTCATGCCACATGTTAACAGTTTACTCTACACCCTGTATGGAAAAGGACATCATGAGGAGAAAGTGTAAAGCTTAAAAACAAAGGTTTATGACCTGGCAAGAACTAGACTTGTTGTCAGAAAGATAGAAGGACAGAGGAGGAACTGGCTGTAAGTGAAGTGGCCAGTGGGGGCAGGGGACCCCTCCTCTGTTTTTCATCTTAATTTCCTCATTGCACCAGCCTTAACAAGAGGTTACAGGCTAGAGAGGACTAAAACACAGAGCACAGGGTTTGTAACCTTTTTGATAAACAAATTTCAAGGACTCTTCCAGGACTCAGATTGATTTTTCCGGGACTCCAAATTTGTCCTTAAACCCTTTCATTCATCTTATAATCTACATACATTTCTTATTACGTAAATTCTGAAAACTTCATTGCTTGAGTTAAGCAGATTTCTGGCACTTTCCAGGACTGGTAGTCTTTTTTACCAGGACTTCTCAGGTCTGCAAAATGTTTAAATAAAATTCCAGGACTCTCCAGGTTTCCCAGGACCCACATGTACCCTGAGAGTGTGACTGCCTTGCAGTTATGTTGCTTTAACTACAGCAAAAATCCAAAAAATGTGAAACTTACAGGCACCATCTTCATCATAATTTGACAAATCAGGAAGTATTGATCGACTAAATTCCAACACATTACACCATTGGTCTCTGTTTAAAACTTTATATTTTGAATTCTGCAGGGAAGAAAGAAATATCTTTAAATAAATGCAAAAATTATTCATATGTAACAGCAGTCCTGTAAGCAGACAGCCACATGACCAGATCAATTAAGCAAAAATTTGGGGTTTTTCTTGTCACTGTAACAGCCAACAAGTCCAAGGCTTGGGCCACTTGCCATAACTCAGAACTTTTTAGCCATAAGCCTCCATTCATAAAGAGAATTTTGTCATCAATCAATAAAAAAATTCATAAAGTTGTTTTAAACTGACTGGCCAAATCACTTAATTCCAAAGTGTTCTAACAATTTGATCAAAATATTGAGAAGTTTAAGGAGAAAAAAGCACAAAGGCATACTCATTTAGAAATTGAGGAGTTTGGATAGTCATGTGTCTTCCATGTCTGGCATGGAGTTCTTTACACAAACAATTTGCCAAAAAAGGACAGAACTTGAGAACCTGATTGTGTACCATTTTTACACTTTAACTCTCAAGATCTGACTGTCAATTCTCCCCTCTACCTACTACACATTTCCTTGTAAATTAGTAATGAGAATTTGGTGTCAACGGACAACAACTTCTACCTGATAAGTTGAGTATTCTCATTACTCATTTGCTGGAAAATATATGGGTAATATAAGGAGAGGTTATATGTTGATCACTTCTGGGAGTTAAGGGCATAAGACTTAACAAATCCATACAAAATGTATCTCAACTTTCTCTTGTGTTCCTGATTAATATTTCTAACCTCACAATTCTCATAAGTTAATTAAAAAAAAAAACCCTCAGGCAACTGCTATGTCAGCTGATGGTGTCCATGGCTAAGATACTGTCTGGAAATGAATATTTTGCTGAGAAACAAGGCCTCAATGACAAATGTAAAATTTTGAGGAGAGTATATCAGCCAAAGACATTACCAGCTTACATACCAGAAAGCAAGAAGGGGCTTTATCTAGCCCTCCCATTAATTTTCATACTGCATGTTGACAGCAAATTTTGTTGACATTTTGGTATTTTGCGAAGCAGTGTTTGAGATTTGCTTTTTCACATCCCTCTCACCTGAGTCTACAAAATTAGTTCACTTTTCTTCCATGTATAGTAATAAAGATGAAAAAGTGAAACTCTTGGGCTGCCTTTTTTCTTCTGGCTTTGTTCCTTTCCAACGGGAATAATTGGGGGCAAATATCCACATAGATGAGGGTTATTGCATGATTACTGTCCTTCAATTTTGCACCACATGACATAAAGTAGCCCATTGAATTGCCCAAAAATTTATGGGTGGGTTCCAAAAAGAAATAATGATATAAATAGGCTGCTGATAAAGCAACATTGCATGATAACCTACCTACCTGCAAAAATTGTAAGAAATCATCTAGCAACGACCATGAATCATGGAGCAAAAGTTGAATCATTGTAACAGCAGTATCTAAGTCTAATGTGCGCTGGTCTTGATTCTGTTTGAAAGAGAAAGTAACATAAGAGGATTCTGGCTCTTTTTTTTTTCATCATATCCAGGGTACAACAAATGTAATATTAACAGTACATGTTGATGGGTTAAGTATTGAATATCATTTGTCTACAACATATACAAGTATTTTCCTCAGTTCTACCTGATAATTGATTCAATAATAACTACCTATAATACTGTAGAGCTTGTGGAAAAGACACAAAGAGTACCAGGAATCATGTTACTTGCTCCATTTGATGATCATCCACACACTAAATAATACTTATTAACAGATGAATCACAGTCTGTATAAATTTGGCATAGAAAAAAAAGTGGATGTCTGATATCTACACACACATGGAATAATAAATGTCAGATATTTCAGAGCATGTATAAAAACAGGCAACAAAGTACCTGAGATTTACTACTCAACATGCCACAGACATTTTCCTTCACTCTCACCAATGATTTTTTAAATCATATCAAGCACCTATACTGGTATATATTAAAAACCAAAACAAGACAAAAACCAATTTGTCAAGTTTTTCTTTCATTACTAATCAAATAGCAAATCATTTCCAACCAACTGATGATTGTTGAACAAAAAATGCGAGATCTTTCACAGCCAGTAAAAATACAGGCAGTGAAATGCCTCATATTCTCTGCTAAACATAAAACATATTTCCATGGTTATAGCTGAAATTAAGAAATTGCATAGCTACTTTGAATAAATTTTCACCACTGGTCCTGTCAGAAACAAATTAATGTGTTCACCTTTAAGTTTCACAGTAAAACTGGTGTTTTCTGTGTCCAAATACTTAGTGCTGGAGATTTCTCCTTACTTACATCCTTACTGATATTAGTTCAGAGAATTTGGTATTGGATCAACTAAAAATCCTAATTGACGAATAATACTGTAAGGAGAAATTAGGCTGAGGTGAGTCATAAGAGTTGAAGGGGTTCTAATGTGCTCATGAGGGAACTGATGACTTCATTAATAGCCAATGTCCAAATTCAGTGGCTTTTTTTATTAACACTTCTTATTAATAGGTACTTGCCTATGAATATTGCAAAATGTTGACAAGTAGGTCAACAGCAACGCAAGTAATCTACATTAGACAAAATGAAGAATCTCAAACTTACCCTACAAAAGTCAAATGCATAGCGGTAAATCTTTTTAAAAGTTGCACTGTCCCTTGTTAATGACTTAAGGCCATTTAATTGAGCTTTAAGTTTAGCTGTAGAATCACATCTGTCCAAAAAAACAACAACAAAAATACATGTAGCTAATTCACTTCCACTTTTATTTGCTAAAGAGATTATATACCCCAGGTAAATTGGTAAAAGTAAATATATAATTCATTGAAGGGTTACATCCACTTGCTCCCTTTCATGCTAAGTACAGGTGACCCCTGTTCAAAAGACATTTTGATGGTGTAATTCAAACTGGGGTATGTTCCAGGCTTTCAAAAATTGTCATTTTTTCTCCCAATCTTGTTAAAATGTTAAAAATAGTGGCTTTAACCCTTTAACTCCTAAGATATGGTTTTTAATTCTCCCCTCTGGCTGCTAGACATTTCCTTGTGAATTAGTAATGAGAATCTGGTGTTAGATCAAGATCACAACTTTTACTTGATAAGTTTAGGTATTCTCATTACCTTTTTGCTGGATAATGTATGGATATTATAGGGAGAAGTTACATGTTGATCTCCTCTGGGAGATAAATGATTAAAAGGTTTAAGGAACTTTAAAGACAGGCAAAACTACTCTATTAGGTAATCTTGACCCTTTAACTTCCAAGATCTCATTAGTAATTCTCCTTACTGTCTGCAATACAATTCTTCTGATGTTACTTCTGAGAATTTGGTATTGGATCAACTAATAATCCCCTAATTGATAATTTTCTTGGTTCTCGTCATTTTTTTTTAAGGAAAAATTCTGTCTTGGTCACTCATGGGAGTTAAAGGTTTATAGAATTAAATACTTGAACTGCTTACTCTATTGAGAGCATTCCTTTGCTCCATTCATGAAAAGTAAAAAATCCCATTGTTGCTGCCTGAAGTTTCCATGCTATAACAAGCATTACGGTCTGTAAATAAAAAAGTAAGAAAAAACTCACCACTATGTTTATATCCCATAAAGTCGAAGTTAAAAAAGAAATAGTAGGTGGCTGCTCATCATGTATACCATGGTGTTTCCACAGATTACAAGCTAAAGGGAACTAATCTGTGTGGGTGAAAAGTTCTTCAACCTGAATTGTTTCCATGTATAATGGACATCTTTATTTCATTCCCTATCATTTTATTCATCATGCCATGTTGTACAATGGAAACATGTTTTCTTTAAATATGTGATTCAGTTGAGGCTTTTCTTGCTACTGCTCTTAGCAGTGACCACTCAAACAGTCTAATTTGCACACTTCTCTGCCAAATTAAATTAATTCTGGGATTTTTTTAAACCCTTATGGATTAGCTACAATTAGTGATTTTCAATATCAAAGTACTACAAAATTTTTGCATATTTACATTTTGCAAGTTTTATGCTAATAAGATAAAAGCTCTCATAAGTGAACAGACTCAGTCTGTTGTTTCATTGCTTGGTCACCTATAATAAGAGCGCCCTGCTCTAGTTACAACTGTTTTTTGGATTCCTATGGATGACTGCTTACAAGAGGTTCAACTACGTTAAGGAGAAAATGCACAATTTTAGACAATTGCTGAAGGAAGCAGAGCAATCTTACATCCTCTGGTTTCACACCAAGGTCCTTACAAAGCTTTTCAACTCCCTCAGGTCCAATTGTGTCTGGTTCATCTTCACCTACAAATATGGAAAAAAAAGTAACATCTCAAAATCGAAGAGGTATCACAGTGTCCAAAAGGTAATTCACAACAATCAAGGGTACTTTAAAATACCTGCATAATGTTCAAACCATGCTCTACATCGCCTCAAAGAAAAGGGTTTTCCTAAGTCTTCAGTTAAACTTTGAGATTTGATACTGGAGAAACAAAAATTTTTCATAAACATCATTAGCATCAGACAGGTAACTGAAAATTAGTTTCAAACTATCAGAATAAGCTTATTGTCTAATTAAGTCCATTGAGTGTTCACAGGTAAAGATCAAAAGTATCACTGTGAAAAAATAAGAATGAGAACTAAATATGTAACAGAAAAAGCTTGCTTGGCTTTTGATTTGTGAAAATGTGTATCTGGGCAGCTTTCAAGAACAATTTTTATCAAGCAGCTAGCCTGAAGCTCTCCACTTGAGATAAATAAGAGACAATATTTGTTGTAGTTTAATTTGGACAGGAGCAAGTTTCTAAAGAAACTGTTAGTATGCTGCATCAGTAGGAGGTAGTACATGTACAAGAAAATTTGGAAACAGGAATATGATAAAAAATAAAAACTCTAAGCTATAGTTACTCAAGTTGTATTTAACCCTTTCACTCCTACGAGTGACCAAAACAGAATTTCTCCTTACAACATCAATAAAATATCAACCAGATAAGTGATGGGAATAAAGAAAAATATCAATTTGGGGATAATTAGTTGATCCAATACAAAATTCTCTGAACTAACATTAAAAGAATTGTACAGTTGACATTAGGGAGAATAACAAATTTGATCGGGGAGTTAAAGAGTTTTAAAAGCAAATTGATATTATGCCTACCTTGTTACACAGTCTTCTCTCTGTTTCTTGAGCTTTGTTTCTTCTTTTGTGGTGGTCTTTCTTTTCCGCCTCGGTGGCATTTCTGTTGAAACTATCTCTGAGCTTATACCACTTGTGCTAGCTGTTAAATAAAGAAAAAAATGCCAGAAAGAGAAAAATATATATTTCACTAAGGAAAATCCTGTCTCTGCACAATACACACCACATGCTAGGATCCCCTCATAAAATTGAGTACTTTTAAAACTTGGCCTTTGCTTCATTTCCTTGAAAAACTACTATTGTAGACTGGGCACTTGCATGAACTGAAATTTTCGATAAACTCACTATCATTGTAGTTGAAACAATAATCACAACTTTTTGATTGGATATTGTCAGTAACTTCAGGGAGTAGGGTTGACTGGATACACATCTCTTTATCAGGTATTACGCTCAACTGTATTGGTTCATTACAAGGTGTGCACCTTTACTATGGCACAGCTCACTTTTCGTTGTATTCCTTGATTGTTGTGATTGATGCTTGTGGAATTTCTATTCCACTGTCCTCAGTCATGTCATTGAGCTTAAGTTTCTTTCACCATAAAAGATGACCACTTTAATACTATGAAAAGGGACAGTAGAGTAGAATCCCACAAGCACGGTTGTCAACAATCAAAAAACACGACAACAGTAGGACAACTGCGCCCCAGCAACCTTCTGAGGGAACACGTCTTTGAAATGCACCAATCACAGCTGTTCAATACCAGGCAATCAAAACAAAGCCTAATGCTTTAAAAAGTGACATGAATCAAGTTGATCTCATCACCTATAAAAGCCAGCAGTATGTATTGGAATCCTTGAAATTAATCATAAAATGTGACATCATCATGAGGCAAGCAACAATATTTCATTACACAAGCATAAAGTAGTTCAAAACATGGCAGACCTGGTCATATACTTAGCTAAGTGCATAACACCACTAAAATTTTTCAAAAGATCCCTTTCATAGTTTGCTGGCACAAGCAAACCTGTCCAATTTTGACAGGATCCAGTACATGTCTCTAATAAATATTTGAATATGCCTATGGAGGAAGGTGGTCAGAAAAAGTCTTAAATAAAGATCACATTAAGTATTATCCTGATAAAGCAATTATAGGATTATCACAAAACCGAATACTTTGCCAAGCCAATTATGTGCCGCTATTGCAATAATTGCCCACCAGAATGTGACTGGGGCTATCCCTTCCAAATCTATGCAACATTTTCAATCAAAGAAATAGTTTGAGGTTAAGACATCATTCTGCGATGATACATGTCGTTAAAAAAACCACTGAATTTGCAAAAAATATTGCCATTTAAAGTTCGATGAAGTATACTTTCAACAAGCTACAAGGTCAATTAAATGGACTTATAGCAAAAGGCAGGCCGCTTAAATGGGCTTTAAAGTTCACCATAATATAATAAGCGCAAAATATTACAGATAAAGCTTTCATAGATTAGTACCTGGAAAAAATTCATGGCATATATCGCTAGCTAAAAAATATCACCTAGCTGTAAAATATCACCTTTAAAACCGATGAACATGAAGTTACACTCTAACATATATGGATCAGCAGTGAAAACAATTCAGAGATTATGGACGAGAATATGTCAAAAACGCAGACCCTAGAACAAAAGCCTCGCGATATACCATACGAACTTTGGCGTAAGAATATAAATTCATGCATTGATTCCTACATCAAAAGAAAAATCAATCTGTCTTTCTCTACTCGTCGTTGATAGACTATCAATTGAAGATATAGCTCGAGTAGTTGTATAAACAGCCCCAGAGTTCCGCGACACACATGGACGGAAACGATTGCTAAAATGGGGTCAAGAGAATCAAACTCCATCGCTTGCTCACGCTCTCGAGGAACATGTCCATCAAGTATGCAACTATTGTTAATGTTAGGGAATCAAAATGTTACCATAAACTGACATTTGAGCCTTACATATGTAAAGATAAGCTTAAATATTTGCGACATGAGGAAAATACCTCGAATTCAGGGCATTAAAAGTCTCCAGTATTTTCTCTCCCTGATTTTCCGTCCTTCTTTAGGTGAGTTTCTCCCGGGTAGACTTTGTAGCCGCGCTCCATGTTTGTGCACGTGCTATGGCCTCGGTATAGCGCTAATATAAACAATAAGCCTTCCTTGGCTGAGTATCCCCACCCCCACTTCTCGTAAAAGAAAGAAAATTCGCCCTTCTTGATACAACCTTTTGCGGTCACAATTTTTGCTATGTGCGATAGTGTAATTTATAAGTCGATAGTTAGACTGATAGAGATTAAGATCAGCTTAAATCGAGATAAATTTGAGAAAAGAATTTGGCTTTTTTCTTAAGAAAAATTTAAAAACTAAACGAAATTGCAAGATATTGCGTGGAATTTGGGTTTTTTGTGACTAAATCTAATCGTCATGACCTGACTTATAATTAAGCTAACTATGGTAAACCTGTTTCATTGTCCTCTGCGTCAATCGATATCTCATCGGCACTTCTTCGGGTATCAGACGATGAGCAGCATTGTTCGTCGTCTTCGAATTCTTCATCTGATTTTTTCATCAATATTGGTTGAGGTCGATAGAAAATTAGAGCGCACAGTGTTCTCTCGATGAAGAATGCAAAGGCAGTGAAAATGAAAAAACACATCGGCGTGGCATGTTTCCTCTACCGCTAGACAAGTTGGATTCTTAAAGCTCATTTCTGCGAAATTGTGCGAAATTGATGAAGATTTGTGACGTCATAATGTGATTCAGGGCGAAGTCTGGTGAAGTCTTACATGTAATCGAGTTGTTTCCTGGTATTTATATTTAAAGTCTATAATATAAAGAGGAAAAGAAAAGAAGATAAAACAGATTTCTGTCATTATTGTCCTAAAAGATGATCAATTTTGTAAATGCACGGGTTGGCTAAGTAGTTGAGCTTGCTGTGTACCTTGATGAGAAAGGGGAACTAAGTAAGCCAGAACAGTGGGTTCAAGGCCAAGACTGAGATTTTAATGGTCAACGGAATGTATTGAGGTTTCATAAGCTACTCTAGCATTAACATTCCGTCCAGGACAAATTTGAACTCCGCAAACTCGTCTGTGTCTATATATAAAGAATACCCTTGAACTTCCATCCCTACCCTCCCGGCCCCCCTGTCCCTCCACTCCCATGGGTTCGTTTCACTGCGTGCATCGTTTTTGCAGGTTATTTGCCATAAATAATAAAGGATTTAGAGAGGGTAACAAAATATTCGGTTTTTTTTTTCAATTGGGGAGCCGAATATTTCATAGGGTTGTTTTTTAGTCTGATTTTTTTCATCTGAAAATTCTAAGCGCAGGCCCGCGTTCATCTCCAAAACAGATGTCAGCGACAGGATTATTATGGGCTGTTCGCGCCAATTGGTTCAAAGTGTTCGATTGAAAGAAGGGGACAAAACACCACCATGAAAGTTGTATTATCATAGGAAATAATCGATACTTTACCACAGATAGAGACGTCTGTAGTCTAGGTTTGGAAAAAAACTCTCCAGTGAACAATTTTACACAGATTTTAGGAGGCCAGAGGTCGTAAAGCTCGAAGTAATTTCAGCACCAACTCGATATGCCTCGCAATGAATCTGGTTCTTCGCCTAGGAAGAGAGCCGCTGCCACAGACCTGCATGAGAGACTTAGTAAAGACGAACTTATTAAACGACTCAAGGTGAGTGTAGGTAACCTTAGGAATGACTAAAATGCGCGGCAAGCGTATACACCGCGACACACAGGTGAATTTTGTGGGAGATTGCGGGTTTATAAATATTTGTTTTGATACAAGATATGAGAATACCGTAAACGAACGAAACGAGACTGGTTTATTTGAATCGTGCAGCTTCAAGAAGCACCTAAGTAAAATAATTAATCGTAATTGATATTTTTAGCTAATCGACTGCGAGAACTCCTCGTTTTCGTTCAAAAAATCGTCCTCACACGGGTGATCAGGCAAATTGGACTAAATTAAGTTTATTATTGACTTTTGTTTTCGATACAGTAAATCTTGCAATGGCCTGATTAAGACAAACTTAAAATGATCGATTTATTAGCTTCACATGAGCTGTAAATAGGCAGATTCTAAATTCTCTGATTATGAAGCTCATTGGATAGTCATACCTCTTGTTTTGTTAAGGTGTTAAACTTGAGTATGAAAACTTAGTGGAATTATTAATCTGCCACTGACTGGAAAAACGGTTTAACTGATGCTTAAGGAAAAGAAAGGAAAATGGATGTTCATATATATTACTAATTTGATTTATTTGATAGAATCTAGCTCATGAACTGTCTAATGCAGATCAGACAGATCGAGCAGAAAAATATGGGACAGTTGCACAGTCTCTTGTCAGCCCATTCATTCTCAAACACAGAGATAAAGATGTCAAGGCACATGCTGCATGTTGCCTTGCTGACATCCTTAGGATCCATGCTCCAGAGGCTCCCTATGATGAAGAACAATTAAAGGTAATAAAGCCTTTTATGAAATAACTTGAGACATTGTGAGGGCCCTGATTGGTCAAAGAGCTATTGTTAATTGCACTGGTAAACTCAGGGAAAATAAAGTTGATTTTATAAAAGCATCAGCCCCACTTTTTATTAGTTTACTTTTGTAATAAGTGACTTGGGATATTGGGAGAACTCTTAAAAAATTTGCAAATCATTTGCTTCAAGCTCATGATTAAAAACTGTTCTCAACATCTTGCACTTATTATCATGCCAGTAATTCAACCAATAGAAAGAGGGCTCTAAATAGTCAGCAAGCAAATTCTCCTCTGTTGTCTTGATACATGTCCCTATAAAAGTTTGTTTCAAGTTTCAATATTTGCAGATTTAGCACAGATGTAATGATAAAGATAGCAAAAAAAAATTGATCCACAAAAATGAGTTCCAGCAGAGAAAAATCCTACAAAATAAAACTAGTTCCTTGCAGACATTTTTACCATCTGAAAGCAAGAGAATTTGTCCCTTCAAACTTAAGTGCAAGATAGTCTCCCATGATATGTACCTATTGACTGGATGCAAAAATATTTGATTCAAGGTCATGAATTACAGACTGAGCACAGTGAGATCTGTACATTATGACCACAAAAAAGATTCTATAGTGAAAACTGCTATAAATTTTTTCAAGCCAGGATGAGAAACTCATAATTCCTATTTCTGTTTCCTTTAAGTTCATATTAAACAATTTTTTTTGGCAACAAAGTTGTGTAAGGGCCTACAACCTGCTCTGCCTTACACATGTCAGCTTTTATCATGGTTTTCTATGGGATTATGTGAGTGGTGCTAGACAGGTTAGGTAATATAACACAGTATTCATGCAACTTTACTCCTAACCAACAACTGGCACTTTTTATTTTCAGGCAGTGTTTCTTATGATGACAAATCAGTTGAAAGGCCTTGGAAATACCAAATCTAATCTATCCAAGAAATCCTTCTATCTTTTAGAGGTGTGTGGATTATAACATTCTTTGTTGCAGTTTCTTTTTTTATATTGGGAGTAAATTTTGCACTATTTCATTCTGTTTTAGAGTTTAGCATTGGTTAAGTCATTCAATATTTGCCTTGAGCTGGACTTTCAAGATATTATACTGCAGTTATTCAAAGTGCTCTTCCAAGTTGTAAAGTGAGTAAAATGTTTCCAGTGTAGACTTGTATCTGTTTGTTAATTCTCCTCTTCAGCTGCTTTGTGTTTCCATGTAAAAATAAGTTGAAAAAATTTGGTGTTAGATCAAGATAACAATGTCTACCTTTTAAGTTTGATTATTCCTATTACCTGTTTGCTGGATAACGTACAGATACTGTGGGGAGAAATTAAATGTTCATCATTTCTGGGAGTTAAAGGTTTGAATGGAAGTTGGGAATAGAGAAGTTAGCAACCCAAAATTAATGGTCACAGCATATAGGGTTGATAATTGATGACAGGAGTTTAACAGTTGATTCGATTTATTCCTACTTATTGTCATTTTAACCCTGTTTTTAGTGAAAACCATTCAAACAAAATTCAGAATTTTATGCTGGATGTGATGTGTCCTATTATACAAGAAGGGGACTCAATTCCTCAGGAGCTTCTTGACACAGTACTTGTCAACATCATTGAACCACAAAAGGTAAGCTCTATTTCTGGTCAGTTTCTTCCCTTTTTTAACTTGTTAGATTAGCAATAAGTATTTAATAAAGTAATTGAATTTGAGTCAACTTCATTGTAACATAGTTAAATGCATTTGGACATAAACTGTATAGATTTTTTTGTCTTTATTTTATTTAATTTACTTTAATTTTCTTATTTGCATTGGGAAAATTTTAGATAGTTATTTAATTTTGTCACTTTTGTAATCATTTGTTTTGTGTCTAAGATTTATTTGAATGGTTTAGTTCAGAACTGTTAATAGTATTATCCACGGTGCTGTGGGTTCGTTAATACACATTTCTTGAAATTTTTGGAAATGAATGATTTCCAATTTAAAATACTTACTCTCCATAGATGAAAATTTCAGGTTAAAAAAAAACTCTCTAACTTAACTGGCCTTTAACTCCCAAAAGTGATCAACATGAAACTTCTTCCTATAATATCCATACATTATCCAGCAAACAAGTTATGAGAATACTCAAACTTATCAGATAAAAGTTTTATCCTGATCCAACATTATATTCTCATAACTAATTTACAAGGAAATGTGTAGCAGCTAGATGGGAGAATCAGCAATCAGATTTTGGGATTTAAAGGGTTAACCAAAAATTTATCGTTCGGGTTATGTTATTAGTAGTTTTTAAACTATTAACTAATTACTCATAGCTAATAACTAATTAAAATTTATTATGATTTGATAAGTACTCTTTATTTATCTCCAGAGTGAAAATGTTGTGGCATATAAACTTACCTGTGAGTTCATCAAGAGAACTTCATCTTCTTTAGAGCCATACTTGCAAATGGTGAGAGGTTGTTGGTTTTATTAATAATACTAAAGTACATTGTGGTGCTCTTGAGCAAGAATTGAACAGAGCTTTAATGGTCTCTATTAATTAAGGATCCCAAGGAAGGCAGAGATTGGGATACAGATGTTAATTGTAAAAAGGTTTTAAAAGAAACCTCTTTGAAGTTTTTCTGTGGTTGTGTCACATTTAATCCTTTAATCCCTAAAAGTGACCAGCATCTAGTTTCTCCTTATGGCATCACACCTGGACCAAACATTAAGGTCACGAGAATTAAGGAAGCAATCATCAACTTAAGAAGCTCCTAACAGTTAAACAACTCCTCCTTTTTGGTACCATATCAGATGTTTAGAGGAATATATAGGGAATTTTAACCTTCAGAAGATGTGATTTCCAATCCACCAGTGTTTGTAGGTAGTGTTTGGATGTATTCCTTGGAGGTGGTGGATGGGGGGTAGTTGGGGGGTAGTTGGGGGGGGGGGAGACAGGGGGCAGGGGGGTGTAGATGACAGAAGAGGAAAGAGCAGTGACACGGACGCTTATAAAGGCACTGAGCAGGAGAGAGTTATACAATGCAGTGTTCAAGAGAGTCATCAATCTATTAATTAATAGGTTAAACGAATGAACCTTTTTAATAATCAGGCCCACATTTCTTTTTAAGTTTTTCAACAGCAGTCTAGCTCTGGGTAAGACAGCAGACAGTATTTTAGCAGAAAACATTTATGACCTTATTTTGGAGTTGAACAGAATTTGTCCAAGTGTTCTGCTCTCAGTGGTTCCTCAGCTGGAGTTTAAATTGAAGGTAATTTCTTTGTTTGTAATCTGTTACTGTTTGAGAAGTCTGTAAGTAGTTATTATGTGGGATGCTTGTGTGGTCAGATATGGAAATTCTTCACGTGCTTGTACTTCTCACTGAAATTAAGCCCTGTTGGCTGAGGTTACTATTTGAATGGGTGACCTCACATAATATCCTGTCTTGTTGACTTGCGATTTCATTCCTCTACTTTGAAGAGTCAGAATTAAATTTATCATTTTCCATGTAAAACTTCAGTGATTGTAGATGATGACCTGTGCGTCCCACGTTGATGCCTTCAGGCATCTTGTTTCTTGTAGTTTTAGTGACTCCCTTTGTAATTCTTGCTTCAATGAGTTTAGTAATAGATGGTTTGGAGCTATTTTGAAGACCATTTTCTTTGGAGGCTACAAGGAAAATTGGAGTTAAGTCAAAATGGCCCTAGATTTGGCCAAAGGTGCTTACACCCACAGTCTTAATGTCCTGTAGATTGGTACATTTTGAAGAAAGTAGTTTTTTCTACATAACAAAATCCTAGGATTCAGCAAAATGCTTGATTTTAACATTTTTTAATGATACAAAGCTAACATAATTTGTCTGGTAGCCTTAGCAGTACTTGCAGTAATTGCATTTGGGGGTGAAATATTTTTTGCAGAGTGAGGATGTGGAAGAGAGATTGTCAGTTACTGAATTACTTGGCCAGATGTTTTCTGAGCAGGACTCTGAACTAGCAACTCAAAATAAAGCTTTGTGGAACTCCTACTTGGGAAGGTGAAATTGCTGATTTTAGCTTCAAGTGGTCAGGAGGAAAAATATTTGATCCAATCCAAATTATAGTTACACATGAAAGGTTGCTCAGGAGTGACCTGGGTTGGACTAGTTTTCCCCCTTGAGGGTGAGGTGGGGATAGCTATGTGTAACAATGTTACTATGAGGGTTCATAACACTCCTGGAAAACCTGGGAAGTCCTGGAATTTTATTTTGACATTTTTCAGGACTGAAATCTGCTTAACACAAGCAATAAAGTTTTTAGAATTTATGTTAAAAGAAATGTATGTAGACTGTATGGAGAATTGATTTCGAAATTCTAGGAATGGAAGGATTTAAGGTGAAATTTGGAGTCTTGGAAAAGTCAATCTGAGTCTTGGAAAAGTCTTAGAAATTTTTTTCTAGAAAAGGGTAGAAAAACGTGGTGTGAGCATATATTTGCTTGAAAGGTCATTGGACTTGTTTCTTTTTTAATGTTTATTTTTAGATTTGTGGATATTAGTGTGGATGTGCGCGTGGAATGTATAAAAAGATGCAAGGAATTCTTGAAAAATCACCCAGACTTGGTCGCAGATATAAGTGGTGAGTTTGAAAACATTCTTGAGACTTCATTTTGTGATCATTGTGTTCATTCCACCAGCACTCTTTAAGTGTTAATGTTTTGGTTGCTATGACAAGAAGACAATCTTATGGTGACTGAATTTGTGGCAAAGGTCCACAATTTGGTGACCTGTGTTTGGCAGTTATGTATTGTTTACTTAGGTGAGATAACCATTTGCATTTAATGTAATGCAATTTATTGCAGTTAGTTTCCTTTGTTACAGTATAATATATAACCAACTGAAAGAACACTACAATCTTACAAACTCAACTACTTTATTAAACAACTTGTAATATTCTTTATAGGGAACAAATCCCAAAGGTGTTTCGTTTAGAAAATACAGTTTAACAGTATTTCTGTTGCAATTCCATGCAAACTCTGTCAATTCAACAAATTAATTTTTAAAGGAGCTCATGATTTCTTTTCGCACTTTAGATAAACTTCACGAAAGACAACGTGACCCTGACGAGAGGGTTCGACAAGAAGTGGTCATTACCATCTGTGATGCAGCTGCAGAAAATATCAGTGGTGTCTCTGATCAGGTAATACTCTCTTTGCAGGGAGAAGGTCTGAAGGAAAGAAAAGAAGCAGTATTTTTATTTAATGAAATCTTTTGTCCTGAGTATGATTGTGAAATTATCTGGTCATTACTGAGTCAGAGTGTTGCCAAGGTACATATAAGCAACTGGTTTAAGTGTATTGGTGTAAAACAAAACTGTTTGTCAGCAAGTTCAGGCAATATTTATGTGTCTATTCTTTTTTTTATCATTATTTTCACAGCTTCTCAATGATGTATGTGAGAGAACAAGAGATAAGAAGGTAATTCCATTTATTCAGTTGCAAGGTTTTAATTGCAGTGGCCAAGTGGTTTGCACCAAATCCCTGACTGACTTACTAAGTGGTGAACTGACTGACTGGCTGCCTAACTGACTGACTAACTGACTGACTGACTGACTTACTGACTGACAGATGGAGTGAATGACTGTTTGACTGAATGACTGACTGCCTGCCTAACTGATAGACTGATGGAGTAACTTACTGACTGACATATGGGGTGAATGACTTTTTGACTGAATGACAGACTGGTTGCCTAACTGACAGACAGACTGACTGATAGACTGACAGTCTGATTGACTGACTGGCTGACAGAGTGACCGACTGACTCGTACACAGATTCAGTGATCAATTTCCTGATTGACACACATGTAGTCATGGACTAAAAACAAGAAAAAGTTCACTATGCATGCTGAACTGTTTTGTTTAAGCTCTTTTTTTCCACTCCATGTTCACGATTATTAACTTGTCTATCTTCGTTGTTTCCTGATTGAACTAGTGGCATGTCAGGAGAGAAGCAATGATGTGTCTTGGAAAATTATACAAGAAAATGACAACAGGGTCAGTTATGGAATAATTGTTAATTGCTTAACATTTAATAGCGAGTGTCTCTGTCTGGTTTTCATGTCAATAAGTTGTTTATGAGCATCTCATTTGTCTCTATCCTCAGGGCTACTGCAAACAGAACAGCAGCAAAGAAATTATCTTGGGTTCCAAGCAAGTTACTTCACTGCTATTACCTTAACACTCCAGAAAACAGGTAATAAAACTATCTTAGAACATGCAGGGATGGAGAGTTTTTTGATTGAGCATAATAAAAATAAAACCCAAGTAATCACTAACCTAGCAAATAAAAACAGCAGAGATTGCATGAATCACAGGAAAAAGCAAACTCTTAAGATGTGATTGGTTTCAGCTTTGTGTCTGATGGTTTGTGAAGGTGGTGCAAGTTTTCTAACCAAATCACATCATTTAGCAAAGAAAAACCAAAGCAAACCTGGTTTACTTCTAATACTCAAACAAAAACTGCACTATTAGACAAGGAGAAGAGCAATAAATTACGCCAGATGATTGCATGTTTTACTTCAGCAATGCTTTAGTCAAGGCTTTATCAGGTTGGGATAAAACAAATGAACAGGAAAAAAAAGAGTAATGAACTGTGTGCTTTGTACAATTTTCCAGGCCAATTTCCACAGGTAAACTGCTTTGAATAACTCATTACAATGTTTTACATTTTTGGAGCAGAAAATGGTTGTTTTGATGGTATTATCCATTTTCCATAAGGAGGGCTCTGGGTTTGTCAAAATACTGAAAAATTATTTCTTTTTTGTCATGTTGTAAAGACTTTGCGTGGAAAGGATTCTGATTGGGTGCTTAGTGCCAGTCAGCTTAGAAGCTGACCAAAAGATGAAAAGATTGCTGCATATTTATTGCAAACTTGATGAAGCAGCAGTGAGGTAAAGCTTATGTCTATTGTATCTCTTTTTATCAAGTTACTTGCCCCCTCATTCTCTTTTTGATCCCATCTCTTTCTTCTTCTTCTTCTTCTTCTTTTTTTTTTAATCTGTTTTGTTTTTTGACCTCTCCACTCCTTGTTCTTTCATTTTCAACATCTTTTCACTCCTTTTCTTTCCCTCTGCTTGTTATTTCCATATGTATGTGTGTTGGTTTGTCAATCTTCTTGTCCCTTCCTCCATCTGTGTATTTGTTGCTTCCAGCCTTCCATTGTTCCTCCTCTCTTGTGCCAAGTGTGCAGTGATTGTCTTTTCCTTACTTAGCTACATGCTGTTAAATCTCAATATTTATTTTTAAAAGCAGAACTATTTACAGGCAGTTCTTTTCTCTCCTTTACTATGTAGTGCTTTTCATGGAATTTTGACTTGTCAGCAGAGGTGAGCTATATTTTTTTATGTTGTTCTAATGTTGAGCTCATCAGTATCTTTGTAGCTAAAACAGCTTTTGAAACACTACTATAACAAAATGATGCTTCCTGTATTTTTCAGGGTACGCACAGACATAGCAGATCTGATTGAGTTATCAACAGGAGAGAAGGTAAACTTTCTCAATGACCTTTTGTTTTTTTTTTATTTTCTATACTACTTTTATTTTTCTTCACAAAGCGATTTGGCCCTGTTATTTATTTGAAAAACGTTACTCAAGGCCTTTGATTTCCATGACATATTTGAACAAGGAACCACCTCCAACCCCTGGTACCTTACCACATCCTTTTGTCCAGCACAAAGATTATATCATGCTTGGATGAAGACCTTATTACAGTCCTTATTAGGGCAGCCCTCTACAGGTTAAATGCTCTTACTCCGAGAAGTGATCAAAAAGAAACTTCTCCTAGCAATATTAATAGATTTTTAAGCAAAAAAGTGATGAGAAGAACAAGTTCTATCAACTAAGGGTTTTTGTTTGATTCAGCTCCAAATCCTTAAAGCTGTAATTTTGAAAAATGTTTGATAGGCAGTGAAGAAAATTGACATGTGCTTCCTTGGAGTGATAGGTTTAACTCTTTTTTTGCTTTTTTCCTTCGCAGTCACAGGATAATGAGACACTGGTGTTCTCAAAGATTATTTCCCTTGCAAGTAAGTAGTTTCTTGAGTAATAAAAAGTGTTCAGAGAAGAGCCAAGAAGCTACTTATGTCTTGTCATTTAACCCTTTAACTCCCAAGATCTGATTGTTAATTCTCCCCTCCACCTGCTACACATTTCCTTGTAAATCAGTTATGAGAATTTATTGCTAGATCACGATAACAACTTCTACTTGATGAGTTGGAGTTTTCTCAATACCTGTTTGCAGAATAATGTATGGATATTATGGGTAAAGGGTTAAGGAACATACAACTATCTGTTGGGTTATTTTTGTGTTTTAAGTATATTTTTTTCTAACAGAAGTCGTGATCTGTATTCCTCAAATTAGGAGCTTTCCCAGATGCTTTTAAGTTTCAAGAAAATCTAAAAAAACTTCGTGGAATGATTAAAGAACCTTCCTTGAGAGAACTACTGAAGACATGTGTTAACCCGAATGTGGGGTGTTCAAACGTTTTCAAGGCGGTGGTAAGTACAGTTAATAGAGTCGAACCGGTTAAAGTTGCTCCATCAAAAGGGTCTTAACAGCAGGAACACTAGCATAAGATACCAATGATTGGATGACCTGTGTTGGCTGGTCATGTGATTATCAAGGAGTTGCATTTTCTTACAGTTTTTAATCTTTGGTAACAAGAAATGAATGATTCTTGTTCCTTATTTATTTGCGAAATTTCGAGGCTAACAGCGTTACACATGGAAACATTACAATGCACCGTTGTTACTACTAGTGGATTTGTGAAGCATAGGTCAATGTTCCCCAACTTTTCATCTAATACATTTTTTTGCTAATGTATATGTCATCTTGTTCAGTTTCATTTTGCTTCTCGTTTCTCTTTGGCAGAGTGACGTTGTCGTTAGGCTTGGGTCCAAGCATCCTGTGTTAGAGACACTCAAAGCACTCCTTGATCGTGCCGCTCCTCTTCTTGTGGATGAACATTGCATCAAAGCGCTGTTCAAGTTGGTGAAAGATGCCATTGAAGGGCTTGCTGATGATGAGGATGATGAGTATGAGTGGCACGAAAGCTCTGGAATAAAACCTGTCGGGAAAAAGGGACTGGCACTGTTATTGGTGAGACATGTTGTTTTCTAAATACAGTGGTCAAACGTCGTATGCGAACGTTGTAATTTTTAATCTGTGTTAGAGACAAACTCAAGCGAAGGGTTAAATCATCAGATAACCCGTAATTTAATGAGCTTCTTGTTCGAAAAGTCTCGATTTTTGCTTTTCTTTAGTTTTGTTCCTTTTACAAATTTCTACGAGTTTTTAATTTTTTTCGCGCGAATTTGCGTAACAGCGGTCGTTTCTTATGTTTTCCGTTGAAATTTTGCGCGGGAAATTGACGCGCGGCTGCCTACTTGCACGTGTTTGACGTTTGACTGCTCTTATATATAACGTTGAACTCTTTTTTCCCCAAGAGTGACAAGCATCTATCTTCTCCTAACTAAATCAACCCTGAATCACGCATGAAGGTCACAAGAGTAAAGGAAATGATCACCAACTGCAAAAGCACTAGATTAGTAAACAAATTCTCCTCGTCAGCACTCTAGGAAATTCATTGAGAACAGTATGGAGAATATACATACTGATGTTAGGCTGTAAAAGGGTAAGCATGGGAGACAGTGGCCTGACAGGAAGCGCCCTGCACACCAGGGCTCAGTTGTTGGACGGCTGATTGGCGCTAACCCAAGGTTAAATTTTATTCCGGGTCTCTTTAATTCCTTTGTTCAGAAGCCTGTTTGGGATAAATTTCTCTATTTTCTTTAGAGCATGTAGTCGCAACATCGTAAACAAAAAGAATTACGCTGGATCTTTTTTTTGAAGCTTTGAGATCTGAAATCAAATTTCACGCTAATCCTGGGTTATCTTAACCCAGCTTTGAACAACTCGGCCCAGGTCGTTAGGTCACTGTTTCTCCCACGCTTAACCCGTTACTCCGTAACATCAGTATGCATATTCTCCATACTGTTCTCTCTCTATCCTAAGGTACCGACGAAGAGAATATGTTTGACAATCAAGAGCTCTTTTAGTTGGTGATTATTTGCTTTATTCTCGCGACCTTAATGTGTGATTAAGGGGTGTCATTGTAAGGAGAAATTAGCCGTAAGTCACTCTCTGGAATCAAAGGGTTATGTATGGACAGTCAAAGCTTTAATTTCACGGAATCTTTTTCAGGGTCTGGCTGGTGTATTTCCTTCCCAGTTTCAAAATGACGACACTTTTCAACAGCTGCTGGTTTTCCTGAAAAACAAAGATCAAGAAATAGTTGATCATTCACTAAAGATGCTGGCCTTGACCGGAGATGGAATTGAAAAAGTCAATAAATCATTGGCCAATTATTATCATCCAGTCTTGTCCAAATTAGCATTAAAGGGAACTCCTTGCCAAGCCAAGCACTCGCTGAGATCCATTGCAAAGATTTCTGCTGCTTCTTCACAGCCGTTTGATCGTGTCTTTACAGTAAGTGTTTTTAAAAAGAGTCTACATGTACCTCAAAATGTCATTGTGATTCAGATTCGCTGATGTCTCCATCTCAATCTTAATTGGCACGAGGCATGCAGCTTTTTTGTGATGGTGTGCCCATAGATATCAGTATTTATACATGATGAGGCAAAAGAAAGCCGCTTGTTTTTTCACAAATAACGCGTAAGATAATGAGCGTTTAAAAAAAATGTACTGCTTATTTTTTCGCAAATCGATGCGCAAGATGATGAGCGTGAAAAATATACCGCGGAGTACGAGCGAAAAAATGCCACGCTATTTTTTTTTTAACGCGAGTCACGCGCTAGCACGAGTTCCGTATGGGGAAAAACACTGTGCCCCAGGGTTTGAGTACTTTGATGGTACAGTTAGCTCTATTGGACTCGAACTTATATTTCTATTCAAGCCCTTTATTAGATGCAGATTGACATAACAGTTTTTCAAATTATAATTCAATTTTATCGCAGAATCTTGTCAGTTCCTTGAGCTACGATTGTCCTCTTTTACTGACTACACTGACAGCTCTTGGTGAGATCGCACTTTTAGCGCCATCTCTGTTCGAGACACAAAGGCCAGCCATTGTTAGAGATTTTGTCGTTAAGGAACTCTTGATGAAAGACAGGGGGGAGATGGTAGATTCGAATGAAAGTGAAGGGGAGTGGTGTGAAGACAGGGATGTTACTCAAGAAACGCAAACGAAGATCAAAGGTATACGTCTGCTGGTGAAGTGGCTGCGAGGCCGGCAGGGAAACCACAAGTCGTCCGTTCAGCCTGTGCTTAGATTGTTGGACAGTATGCTCACCCATAAAGGAGACTTACAACAGCAGGGTTGCGTGAAGTAAGTATGTGGAAAATATTTGGGGGATTTTATCGTTCGAACCAAACATTCATGGTAGAACAGTGGCCTAACGTTGAACATGCGCTAGAATATCAATTTTGACTAGTAGCACGCCAATTTTCCGCATAAAATTGGAATACATAGGAACAATCACGCAAAATTAGCTGGCAGGACTCTATATTTTTGTCTAAGCCTCTGCATCAATTTAAATAAACTCATTGTTCTTGTTCTCTTACTGCTGTCTGAAGAGCTGCTGATTGTTCAAGACTTCGACTGGCAGCGGCCTGTGGCATGATCAAGATTGCACAGGAACCCCATTACATTGAATACATAACCTTGGAAAATTTTCAGCGGCTCTCATTGGTAATGCAGGTAAAATTTGAATGTATGGATTGAGATCGGAGACGTTCATCTGAGTGATTAATGCTGCAAGGTAGATATTTTTGTTGTGCAGAATGAGAAGAGGGGTTATGCAATTTCAACATGAAGCTTGTGCGAACAATAACTCTAGATAATTTTGTGATGGGTGAAAGGTATCCATTATGCACCAGTCATTACTTGTCCCCTGGGGGTGGGGTGGCCCGGGAGATTTTGGGTGGAGTCTCGTGGTTTTTATGGGGAACGGAGTGGGTATTAGTCGTCGTTAACACAGTATAAAGTTTTTAATCTGAAAACCATTGAAAAATTGTAAAAAATAGTCCAATAGCGATGGTTGATCCAAAACAATGTTGGAATTAAACGGGACTTGATTCTACTCTATCAAAACTAACCTTGATGCTTTTGCCGGTGGTTGTGATTGAATTGTTTGCCTGAGGACGAAGAAAAATGATCCATTTTCATGTGTCATTTTGTGCTTTCTTTTGTTGAAGGACCCTTGTTATGAGGTGCGTGACAAGTTCACCAAGAAGCTTCACAAGGCTGAAGATGTACTAAAACTTCCTCTGGAATATCTGGGGATATTTGCGCTGGCAGCACCTGAACCTGTTAAGGAAAGGAAAACACAGGTAAAGTACTGTAAAGTTCAACACTTTGAAAAGATGAAAACGAGGACTCGGCTGACAGACGTTTGTGGAATCAAGGCTTAAAAGAGTCTAACGTTTGTTGCATTGGACTTACTTTTCAGGTTAGACAAATGATTACTAAGAACGTCAAGACACGACGAGATTACTTGAAACAGCATTCAGCGGCACAAGGTAAGAAGAGCAGACAACACTACGTTAAAATCATTATTTGTAGCTTACTTATTTTATGGTTGTTGTTGTTGTTGTTGTCTTTTAGAATGTTCTCACTCTATTCTCCCGGAGTATGCTCTGCCGTGTGTTATCCATATGCTGGCCCATCACCCAGACTTCAAACAAGATGATCACGAGACACTAGTGCAATTCAAAGAGTAAGATTTAGTTATGGTTTTCTTATGCCTACGGGTGAATTTTTAGTGCCACTTCTGTTACCGTTGAGGATTTATTTCGATCACATTTTATGTCAAAATTCTGTACTTTTCGAAAAACATCACATCATGGGTTGTACAGGAGGAAAAAAATACAGTTAATTGTGTAATAAGATTCCAAAAATGCATACAGTAACAAAAATGGCGAAAATTTGTTGATATCGTCAAATCCGCCAAGCTGATTTCGCTTTGACGAATATGACTAAAATTCGCCAAAATCATCAAATCCATGAACATTCACTCAGTTTGAGGAAATGTCGTTAAATCTGCCATTTACATTACTGCGTGCATTTCTGGACATAAGTGCATGATTTTCCGGCTAAGAATAGCCCAGAACTCGTTGCTGTCGCCGTCTAAATAGCTCGTTTGTGGCACCCTCTCAATTTGGCATCCTATAATTGTAACAACGAGCGTAGAAAACTCTAGGGAATTATGCCTGGGGCGTTCTCATTGGCTCTTTGTGACATTTTCCTTTGTTCTGATTGGTTGTTGTTATTACTTTGGTTTTGGTCTTACGACACTCAATCAAAAAGCGCTCTTCTTTGAAACTCGGTTAGAAATTGCCCTTTTTCTTTTCCATTTCCCTAAGTTATCTTTGGTTCTTCATGGAGCCGATTATGGCCAAAGCTGATAACTACAGCTTCCTGAAGAAGCTGGTTGAAAACGTCAAAGAAACCAAAGACGCGCAAGCACCAGACGATGAAGAAGTAAACAAGGTAAACACGCAAATGTGATCTACCAGCGATATATTACCAGCAACAAGAAAAATTTGCAACGATTTCCTTTGTTGGCAAGGGACCGGTCATTATCGCATGAGTGGGGAGGGGGGGGAGGAAGGAGAGGGCTGTTTGGAGGATTTGATTGTGTCGAGATAAAATTCACTTGATCCCTTCTTAAGGCTCTGTAGTATATTTCTATGATCCCTACCTCATTAGCAGTTAACAATAGCGTCCCCTTTACACTCTGTTGGCGACGACTGATCCCCGCTTCGTTCCTTCTAAGAAACCAGGCCAGGCCCCCCCCCCCCCCAAAAAAAAAAGAAAAAAATCCTGCCCACTTAAGGGAATAAAATATGATTGGTCCTGTTGTGTTTTTCTTGTGGCTGGTTCTCAGAAGAGCACAAAACAGCGTGGACAGAAATACATATCTTGAGGATTGTTGCAATGAAGAAAAGTACGATTTTTGTGCCTTCTAACATATAGTAATTTTTTTTACCAGAATCTTTACACAGTTTGTGATCTTGCTCTGGGACTGATCCTAAACAAGGTAGCTGTCTGACTCTGTAATTTACTTGTTCCTCGTCGCAGTTTATTTTCTTTTTCTGTTCTTTCTGTTTCCCATTGCGTCGCATACTTTTGACGTCCCGTGTCGATGGCTTTTACATAAAATCCAACACGTTGCAGTGAACTTTAAACTGTATTAATTTTTGTCAATGTTTGTTTTTTTCACTAGGTCCACACTTTTGTTCTAAAAGAATTTCCCGGCAATCTTGTTTTGCCAAAAAGGTTCTTTGTACCTTCCGAGGTAAGGGCTTGAACATCTTACCTCTGCTAACGATGTAAACGCTTTAAAAAGATGGTAGCTAACGCGAATAAGGTGTCAAGGGACTCATTCAGAAATGTATTCTGTTCACATCCGCTTGTGGTGCGCTTTTCTTGACGACTCTGAAAATGGTAAAGGTCACGCAATGGCGCTACCAAGAAGGAGCGTTGCGTTATGTACTTTTATGTCACCAGCGTCACACAACGGATTCAGTTTCAATAAGTGTTTTGTGACAGATTTGAGAAGCACCTTATGCTTTTTATGGTAACACGATTTTTGAAGTACAGGAGTCTGATAATTTTTCAGACAATTTTTATAGTGCTTTCGTGATGTCTCAATGCATTTTTATCATGAAATCTTTGGTTTTTTGTAGGAATAGAAACTTTTTTCTTTTTCCGTACGAATAACCTTTGTGTTACGTTTGCAGGGAGGTGGTCCGAACACTAAAAATTACTTACCGAAAGGATTCCAATTCACAACTGCAAAGGTATTTGTGGTGAAGCTTTCCTTGATTAAACCTTAGCAAGACGCCTGAGGGCGTTTACGTGAGATACTGCTGTCTGTGATAAATGTAAAGGTTAGTTGCAAATGTCACTGATCCCTGAAGCCGACTGATAGTCATAATGGAGGTGGTAAAAGCGCTAAACAAAACAGTTTTAGTTACCTTTATTTACCGTGAAAATCGGAAATTAAGGCAAGAGGTGAAGCACACTCGTGCACATCGCTGTTCCATCGCGCTTGATCAACAAAATCGTCTCACGTTGCTGAATCTAACAGCAGACGAAGATCACTTGAGTACTTTCCTCTGCGAATTTATTTTTAAACCGCAATAATTCGAAGAAGGGAAGTGATGTTTGTGTAGGGAAGTCCCGTGTGAGCTTTTCTAAATGCCTTCCGCGCGAAAGTTAAGACGTCATGCACGTTTTAAAAATGTCCGACGTGACAGCTATTACGACACTCGAGCGAATTTTTAACTTGGTCTGCCACGGGCTTCCCACGTAATTTGTAAATTTTAAGTCAAGGTAAGCAACGTGTGGCGTTCTAATGAAAAAGAACTTGATTTAAAGAGTATTAACTGTTTATTATGACTCGTCATTTAGGGACAAAAGAAGGGAAGCGCAGTTGAGTCGAAGTTGACGCCATCAAAGTCATCATCTAAAACCTCCGCCAAGAGTGACAAGAAAACACCAGTGAAATCTCAAAGCAAGTAAGGATGAACTCAATTTGGTTTCCCCATTCGCTCTGACGAAGGGCTAAAGCTCGAAGCGTCAGCTTTGAAACTCTTCCCCTTACGTTATCGACTCAGTTGATAATACGAAATTACACTGTTATACTCTCCCACCGACGCAGCACCACAGTTTCTTTAGAAACTTCCCCCCTGAATTGGTCTGACTTCACTCTTAGGAGATACTGGGGCTGTGTACGAACCCTGTTTGGAATAATTTTGTTGCGTGCCTGAGTAGGACAGTTTCCTTTATCAGTACACCGACCCTTTCGACCCCAGGAGTATATATGGGTTCCGGCCAACTGCCAGGAACGCCTGAAAAAATTGGAAGTGGGGAGGGGGGAGGGGTAACCTGCGATGAACTGGCATTCTAGGGGGCGGGGAGGGGGAGTAACATTATCCCTAGTCACTTAATGGAAACCGAGAGTGAGGGATAAGCTTTTGATTCGTATGAAGAAAGTGTTGGCACGGCCCACGAAAAGATTGTGCGAATATTTATTTGCCGTGAAAAGCTTGAATTATTTTGTATTGTTTATTCAGAACTTCGAAGAGTCCGAGAAGTACTTCAAAGGAGAAAGGGAAAGAGGCGGACAGAGAAGAATCTTCCTCAGAGACTTCTGAAAGTGGGTTTGCTAGTCCCCCTGAGGAGCAAACATCTGTGAGGTTAGAAAAGAATTTTTTAAAAAAATAGGTAATGAATACAATATCAATCCTTTTTCAAGTCCTCTGGGAAACTTCTATACAATCTAGAATCATCCTCGGCCACTAATTTCGAGGCTAGAATTCGACTCTGCAATTGTAAAAAATTCGATGTGAAACTTCCCTCGGACTTATTTGTGTTTAAGTACTTCTAAAAAAACTTCTCCTTAAGCCTGACTGAAAATCCCAAAACTTGCCCGGAAGAGCGTTTCGTTCGCTGAATTTTTGCTCTTTTTTTCTCCATTTAAATGGGCGGTTTGTTCAACTTGAAAATGTTAGTTTTGAATTTTCAATCAAATAACAAAAATCACGCCGCTATGTTTTTTTTTTGTCATTTAAACATATTTTGCTAGGAAAAGAGGAAGACCAGCTAATTCTTCAGAGAAATCCGCTCCAAAGAAATCAAGGAAAACTTCCCCAGACAAGGATACCAAGCGAGAAAAGAAAACTTCGGCAAAACAATTGAACATGTCAGATAAACGTAAAAATTCTCGACAAAAAAATGCTTCTCCGCCGGAAAGTCCACGCTCAACAGAAAAGTCATCTTCGACAACCAAATCATCACCAAGGTGCGTGATCTTGTTTTCTCGTTTTGCCTTTGTGGTGTGTCAACAGTTCTCCCGTAGGGTTATCGAGAAGAAAAATGGCTGTGAATGGAGGAAGTGTTATCCGTAGTGGTTTTGTTGGTGATCTTGGTGTCAAATCCATTTGGTGAATTTGTCGTTTTATTTGAAGCCTTGCCATGCTTTACATTGGAGAACAAGCAAAGAACTTAAACCACTTTGGAAAATTATACTTCGAAAAAAGAAAATCAGTGTTCGATATGGCCCAGCGTAACTTACACCACTAACTAAAATAAAAAAAAAGTCCGTTCTAGACAACAGCTGTAGGTTATGATATTTTTTTGTCTTTTTTTCAATCTAACAGTCCCCGAAGAGGACGAGCCGCAAAGAGACTAGTGTCTGAATTAGATGCTTTACCCGAAGATGAGCCAACGCAGGACAGCGGTACCTCCAGTTTGGAGTCGCCGAAGAAGCCACTTAGTACAAGGTATAATGTGAAGGTCACTAGGCCAGCGTGTTTCCCATCACAGAGTAAATGATACGGCTCATCAGAGCCACTAAAGCTCAGCATTTCTTTTCCTTCTTTATGTACAGACAAATATCACAGCAGAGTTCCAGGACGAAATCACGAAATGAAGTAAACGGGGTGGTAAGTATACATTAAATTCATCGTGAAAGTATTTTATCCTTTTTTGTTAGGGACGTTCCTTCTGTTCCTCGCAGTAACGATTCTGTAGGTAAAATTTAAGGATTTAAATCCTGTTAAGTGTAACCTCAGGCAATGGTTGTCTAATGCTGACAAATTTAGCGTTATCACTCGTAGAGAGGTGCTGGTTTTTCTCTTTGTTAACTTAATCTCTTGGTGATTCTACAGACAGATAAGAGTTCATCTAAAGCCAAAAGAAAGGTGCGTCTTCTTTGACTTTTTGGTTGTATAACCTTTTGTTTGTCACAAATGTTTTAAAATTTACTCCATGTTATTAAAAATTGGTTTTTCACACAGAAGGACACCGAGGAATCAAATTCCAGTCCAGTTAAAAAGAGCAAAGAATCAGCGTCTCCGCCAACCAAGCGAAAAGAGCCCACTTTAGTTGTAAGTTTTGTTCTTCATCAAATACTGCATAGTTGTTGGTCTTTTTTTTTCTCTTACAGTTAACTTCAAAATGAATTGTTTTAACGTGGAGTTATCATTTTTTATCCTTTTCAGGTGAAAAGAAAGATCAGTAAGAGAAGATAAAATTAAATAACCAATCGTAAACTATTTCGTTGTACATAGACATCAATTCGAGGATCTTCCGAGTTCAGTTCATCTTCACTTCCATTGTACAGCCATCGATGTTTCACCACAAGGCTCTTCAGGGCAGAGCATAACGCAACTTTAATTACCGAACAAGCAGAGTATGGGTACTCAAATTTTGTTGAAGTTATTGAAACAAAGTGTCCGTTAGGAGACCTGATTATAAACCTGGGATGAACTGAGCTAGGTGATAACCTCAATCAGTGACATGTCCATGCAGAACGCCTGATCTTCGGCTCATTGAGGTGTTCTGGCTATGCTTTGTTTTCCTTGCGACGAATTCGTTCAGCGCTTTCATTGGTCCATTTGATTCGGAAATTTTCGGCTCTTGGCCAGATGGTTACTTTGTGACATGCTGGTTTGGACAGTGAGTATGACCTGGAAAACGAGAAACCATGCGGCGAAGAACTTGGAGCCAAACATCGGGATTTGTCGGTACTCCTTCGGCATGACGCGCCATTTGTCGAAGAAAGTCCATCGGCCAATTCTTAGCAGTGAAAGGAGCGTTTCTTTGAAGCGGCTGAATAAGGGAGCATGAAATGAATGGAAAGAGAGATTTTCTCAGTTCTTTTTGACAGTTTTATCACGAACATTGTTCGGCATTTATCTTTCATCCGGTAGTTAATTATATCCATTCGCTACACATCAGCGTTCTGAATACTATTTGACAGTACGCAGTTGTATTTCATGGCAAGCTACCACTACACATTATTATGTTGCCATAGGAATGGGTTGGCTTTTGTGCTGACACCTAAGCAACCGTCTTCAAAAGAGTTAGGAATAGTGAAGATTATTAGTAAATACCTTATTTCGGCTTGGCCTACTCGTGAGTTTATATTTTGCCCGTTCAAAAGATTTAATCTCTGAACGTCAGGAGGAAATCTGTAAAGTATAGATCACATATCCATATTTAGGTCAATCAGATTGAAGATTATGAGGCTTTACTTCGAGAGCATTTCTAATGAGACTCGAATTATCTCAGAGGTTGTCCTAGCCCCATAAACTAGAAAGAGGTTGCTCGGACGTATGTTTTAGAATTGCATTTGTACTGTTCCAACACCCTATGACTTAGCACAGTGTGAAATAGCCTTACTTAGAATTTGCGTAATTTTCGCCTTGGCTTAAACCTTGAAAACCTGATTTTATCCTTTGATTAACTCGAGATTTTACCGATATTTATGCAGTGTACCTTTCAGTGAATTGTAAGATGTGTAACTTTATGCCTAATTAAAGGAATTTTAAAAGTGTCATTTGTTTTTTCCTTTATTTGGGTGTAGAGCTGCACGAGTTTGGTTTTTGCATAATGCACATGCGGTGCTTCTGATTGTACGATGATGCGAGTTGCTGACATTGAGAGATGCGCAAAACAACGGAGACTTAGCTCAAAATTTGCTCCAAATCCCTGAGTTGCCTTGATGCCGAGCTGTTTAAAAATGTAAAATTAAAGCCGACGTCGTTGATCTATCCAGGACCTCGGCGGAATCGGCTGCTGGGATCAGCCGAGTATTGTTGAGAGATCAACTTCGGCGCCATATTTACGCACATCTAACACGTCCACGTCATGCAAACGCCTCCGACATAAGTTACCAAGACGTGACGTGAGAATTCATTAGGAGGAAAAGTAAGACTTTTTTTATGTGAGCGTGGCTTCGTTATTTTGCTCTGTCAGCGAGTAACCGAGTAGTAGTACATGCGAAACGTTCCACTACTGGCGATAGGGAACTGGCGCTGCTTTGTCAGTCATGCAGTAACACCAACTAAAACTTTTGTCATCGAAAACTTGGGTAAAATACAAGCAAAAGTTGATCAGAAACTGGTTTTTGTTGACGTCATAGTCGAGATGATATGAGGGATATTTTTGGAAAGAATAATATAGTTATGATGAGTTATGACGTGATCGAATCAGTGAATGTGTCAATAGATCAGCAGTATCACTTTGCCTTAAAAATAACTGCAAGGAAGAGCTATAGAAGATGAACAAAATAGAGGCATGAGTTAAAAGAGGAAAAAAAAAAGGAAAAAGTATATAAAAAGAATTGTCCGTTCCCATACCGGGAGTCGAACCCGGGCCGCCTGGGTGAAAGCCAGGAATCCTAACCGCTAGACCATATGGGATTTGGCGATTGTTTAGGAGGAAGTTAATCAAGGAATTTTCACAAGAGGTGACAGAAAGTCTGACAAATATTTGCGTCGAAATGTTTCTAACATGAGAATGGGGAATAGGAAAATTCAGTGGGGTGATAATGTGGAAAACGGATTTTTTTTAGACTTTTCTTATATGGCGCCCAATGTATATCATGTCACTATCTGAAGCTAAGCGAGTAACGAAAAGAATATCTTTGAGAATGTCAATTAATTTCAATTCCAAAGAGGGTAATTTTTTTTTTGTCCGAACAAAACGATAATCACCGCTGAAAAATGTCTAATACCCCATATCAAACAATAAATCGAAAAAAAGAGGTTTATTCTCTCATTCTTAATTTCCCACTCTTCATTTTCCCATTTCCCATTCTCCATTTTCCCATTTCCCATTCCCCATTCTCTCAGAACTGATTTCCTTTACGAAAAGAAGGCTTCTGTATTTGATGAACGGTTCCTGAGCGAACACTTTCTCGACTTAGAGTAACCGCGAAGGCATCTTCTTACAATATCAGTGAACTGTCTCACTTTCAAAGTGACAAGCAGACAAAATATAAATCAGGGAACATAGTTTGATCAAAAATTAAAGTCTCAAAGCCAGAATTATAAGAAATATATTAAAGGCAGTAGGGAGAATTTATATTGAGAATGTTTTAGAGTGGGAGGAATCAGGAAGCGAAAAACATACTCTTGAGGTCGTGAGGGTCAACGGTTTTTCCTGAGTTCTATCAGCGCGTTATCGAAAAACCAACACAAACGAAAACTAGAAGTAAAGAAAAAGAAAGAGTAAATCTGTTCACGCAAAAAACTGCCGCAACCCATGAATAAAAAGTTACAACATTTTATATCGCGGTTCGAATGAAGCGACAGCTCTCTCACAGCTTACTTAAGCTCAACACTTAACATGAACACAGCATGTTTTGCAGTAATACTAGTTACGAACTAGTTTTGACCTGTTTCAGTATGAGTGCTTGTTTTGAACCGGTATAAACAATCATGTAAACGCGCTTTCATTAAAACTTTGGACTTGAATACTTCAAGCATTTGACGGTAACACATTGGTGGCGCAATATTCATCTCATGTTTATCCGACAACAAAACGCGCTTTTAACCCTCATGATAGTTTAATTTTTTTCTGGTCTTGTGGTGTATCTTGGAAGAAAATAGTTTAAAATGGAACAAAAATGCTCTGACTTAAGTTCAACAACCGACATATCAAGGAAAAATAGACCTTCTCGCGTTGCAAAATCTCGTCTTCCACTTTTTCAAAAATTTTCTTTTACGGTTGGACACTTTCTCAACGATGCTGTTTTTGGAGCATGGATATCCTATTTGATAATTTTCGAAACAAAAGTTATTGGTTTGTCCAACAGAACTGCTGGCTTTCTGTGGATCATCCCCGGCACTGTGGACGCTGTGTTATGTTTGGGTGTAGGTTACATCTGCGACAACTACAAGTTCCCTCTTCTTTCAAGATATTACGGTAAACGTAAGAGCTTTCACTTACTCGGGACTGTTCTAGTGGCGGGATTATTTCCATTTCTCATGATGCCGTGTTTTATCTGCGGGGAGGATTCATCCGAGCAGACTATGGGCATTTACTATGGCTCGATCATGATTGTACACAACATTGGCTGGGCTTTATCTCAAGTCACTCATCTGGCGCTAATACCGGAGATTGCTAAAAGACCCAGTGAAATGGTGGAATTACACGGCTTAAGGTAGGAAAATATTGTCGATTTTCCTTTGAACTGGCATCCTTTTCAGGAGTAGTCAGAAATAGATTATACACATATTTGCCGGTAATTTGATTAGGTAACAGAATGTACCCAAATCTCACAACATCCATTACGACATGAACCAATTGTATGGCGCATCGCAAAATTTAGAGCTAAAGAAAGACCTCGTCTATCCTTTCCTTTCCTTATTTCGGCGAATTCTGATCAGATATTGAGTGAAAAGCGACTGATTTTTCGACCGCAAAAGAGACTTTTAAACATTTTCACTTTGCATTACATAACGTAACAAACTATATCCTATGTCAGCAAAGCCGGCCTTTTGGGATTAAATTTCAAACAAACAAAAATTAAGTGAGAGACTATTTTGGACGTTGCTATAAAACTTGATTTAATCACGTTTACCCAGTACATACATACGTGTATTACTCAGATGATCGCGAACTTGAAACCCACATGGGGTTTGTTTACTTTTTTTTTAAAGGAATTCACGCAATTGATTTTTTTCCAACTGATCATTGAGGTTGAAACGATCATGAATATTTCCACCCGGGAAATGACTGGCTGGTTTTGCAAAACGAATTTTCGAGCAGAGGTGTTTTTCGTATACCGGGAAACCACAAATACGACACAGGAAATTATATAAACTTGGGTAGTTGAGGATTTACTTGGTGCTCATAACCTGTTTGTGTGATAACCTCATTGAAAAGTGAGGAGATTTTGTTTATTGATCACTCTCCTGGAGGTCAATGAGTTAAGACCACTAAATGGAATTCTTTGAGAGTATAGTGCACCCCCACTCATTTATTTTCAAATCAAACCTTATTTTTCGCGGGAAATCCGGCCAATGTTTTTACAGTATTTTAATGACCTTCATGAATGTTCCTCAGACCTCACGTATTGCAAATCAATTCGTGGAATGTTGACACTTATACCGTGTTGTGATGCCGCTACGTCATTTGCGGGCTTTCCAGTAGACTTTTAAATCTGTTTGAAAACGGATGTAACCTCCGCGACGATAAACAACTTACACAGCTGGTAAATTGATTTGATAATAAACCAAACATTAGCTGCCGCCCTTCCACCCCATCCGAAAAAATTATGTCGGGTAGGGTAGACGCTGTGTCTCAACCTCATTCACTCTTGACTCTTTGAGTCTTTAGAGTGACAAACATCTTATTTCTCCTCACACTATAACATCCAAGTCAAGCACTAAATTCGTGAGAATACAGGAAATGATCGTCAACTGAGGAAGCTCTTCATTAATTGTTAAAAAAATTATCCTCCTCTTTGAGGCATTGTTTTGATCAAAAGCATCAATGGGGTTAACCGAAAAAAGAGACATAACAATTACCTGTCGTGCATAAAAATGGACAAATGATAATCCTTAGTCCTTAAAAGAGTTAACCGTATTTTTTTTTAAACTGTAAGTGAGAGATTAGCCGTGAGCCGTAAACAATGGTCAAATTTTAACCGTTTGCCGTAAAAGCCATTACCCTTAGAGACCCTCATAGAACCTTTTAGTGAATCGCGCTCAATATTAAATCATAAATTGTCAATTTTTCTTTTTGGTTTCTTTCAGATCCGGTTTTACATTTCTCAGCGGCATCTTCGTGTATGCCATCACTTGGATCGTCCTCAAAACCGATGGCGGAGATGAGAAGATTTCTTTTAGTCAGTGGAAAGACTTTATGGTGGGGTCTTAGTTAAGAAATTAAATCACATTTTCCCCTTGTTAAAAAAATATGTGAACTTGTCTACATAAATAATAAATTAATAAATAATATGAATTCCTTGCTTTATTCTCAAAGATCATTTTAGAGACAATAGAAACCGGAGCATTTCTAAAACTAAAAAAAAATAAAATAAATTTGCCGGTGATGTAGAATCCAAACTCACCATAGATCCTTTTTATTTCAGGAAATATCGGTGATTGTGGTAGGGACAGGTTGTTTTTTCTCGTTAATTTTTCACTTGGGAACCAAAGAACCTCCCACCCCTGTGGAAAACAAAAAAGGTAATTCAACGGAAAAAGAAAGTTGGTCCATTTCTCTGTCACGCAAATGTTGCGTGACAGAGAGCAGCATTTGCGTGACAGAGAGCCACATTTGCATGACAGAGAGCTGATCTTTTATCATTAATTCACATGTTTCTAATCAAGGTATGTTCCAGTTCTTTGATTTTTCATCCGATCCCAATGCGATTTCGGGTTTGCGTTTTTGTGAACAGAACTTGTTCTTGGGTTGTTAGCTGTTGATGAATAGGGAATAATCAAAGAAAAATCTCAGTTCCAGATTAGCAAAAAAAAAGAAGAATATTTGACGCACAATGCTCTAGTGTACTGAAAAGTACATCGGTGAGAATCCTCTAGAATCCTTTCTTTCCGAAAGATAAAACGTCCATCAAATAAAATTCAAATTAACACGTGATGTCTTTTAACGCATTCCAGGTCCTTTCGGCAGCCTCACGGGTGGGGAGAGACGGAGAATTCTAAGCGCCACACTGCCTCTCCCTGATAAAACAGTTGGGGTGTTCTGTATGTACAAAGAAAAAGATCTCGATCAAGCTCCTGAGGAGAATTGGGTACAGACTGAGGCCACACCCAAGGAACTCAAACAAGAGGAATGTGAAGATAATAAGGAGAAGGGTAGTGAATCGCGCGTAAAAAGAGACATTGAATGGAACGTGACTGATTTGAGGAAAGGCTTGAATGGTAACGAATTTAGCTTTGCAAATCCGGCTTTTTGTACCGACGAGAAGCTAGATTTTGATCGTGAAAAAATTGCTAGAGATTCTGGTGAGAATTGTGACCTTCAAACGCAAGAAAAACATAGGATAACAAACGAATTTAGTTTCTCAAATCCTGCCTTTAAAAGCCAGGATAAACAAAGTGACAATGGTGTAGCAAGTTCGCCAGAAACAGATCAAGTGAACAGCGAGGACGGAAATGAGGTGCAGGTGATGGCTGAACGTCAGAGTAACAGATCTGATTGCAGCGACGCCAGCGAAGGATACGCTTCATCGCCAGAAAATTATTATCCTGTTGACTGTTTCGAAAGTTCCCATACCAAATCAAACCTCGAGACAGAAAAACTCGACTTTGCCAAACAGGATGATATTGCAATGGAATCCAGCTCTTTCTACGTTGGACACAGGTCCCTCTCGTCTTATAGCAGCCGCGGAGGCTTGCTCTCCAAGACGACTGATGCGAGTTTCAGTGGAGACAGTTTTATAATAGAGATATTGAATGATCAGGGAACGAAGAGTAGTAAAACTAAAAAGACCTGGTCTTATTGGTTCAAAACTCCACTGTTCTATAAGGTAATTATGGGAAGTGCTTTCAATCGATAAGAATGTATCAGGCTGCGGAGAGCTTGGCTCGAAAAATTCACGTCTAATTGGATAAACGTTGGTGGTAACTTATCTCAAATAACAGGAGGGGTCTGCCCGAAAACATTTAATAAACAACCTTGATCGCATCAAAAAATATTCTCGCTTTTTCTTTTTTTACAGATCTCTTTTGCCTTCATGTGTGCGCGCCTCGTTCAAGTAGTCAGCTCTTCGTACGTTCCACTTTATTTGACGGAAACCCTCGGATTTGAAAAGGTAATCGTTACTTTCTTATTCCTCGACTTTATTGTCACAGTAAAATAAGAAAAGATGGAAGGAGGAGGAAAGGATGATAGATAAGGCTTTGTTAAATTGTGGTTAGGAATAAGACATGAGTTGTGATGGATGCGGAGGTAGAGTTCAGGGGTGTTGGGAGAAGGACGTTTTGGGGGAAAGTTATCCTCTTACCCAGACCTCTCACGGCCAAACTTGATATTTTAGTTACACAGATCCGGGTACGAAACTAAGTGAGAGGAATGTATAATTTGGACCGAGACATAATAAGGAGTGATGGATACGAAGTGAAGGGTGAGGGGAAAGGCCTTGGGGAGTATGATGAGCTGTGAGAAAGAGGCAGTCTGCTATGCCATTACATCTATCTTCGTTTTAGTTCCTCTAAGATCTACAGAATGATTAAAAGTATGAATATACCTTTTTCTCTTGAAGGAATCCATCGCTTATTTCCCTCTAGTGATCTTGCTCAGCAGTGTAATTTCGAGCTTAGCCGCGAAGAAACTCGACAAAATGCTTGGAGACAAAGTGAGTGGTAATGACACCAAAATAAGTAGGTTATTAACCTAAAGCTTGGGAGCCTAGAGCTTTGCATTGGATTGTAGTAGATTGCCATGCTAATTTGCATACTCAACCACTCCTCTTAACAGTGGACATACTGCTTTGCCGCCTCTCTGGTGGTAGGATCCTCAGCTTGGTTTTACCTTCAAGACGAATCGGGAAAGAACGCGGCCTACTGCGCTGCGATCCTTGTAGGATGCGGTAGTTCTGTGATGTACGTGACGTCATTGGCTCTGGCTGGTAAGCTGGTTGGAGACAATAAAGAGTCCGGTGCGTTCGTCTTTGCGTCGATGAGCATTTTAGCCAAGGTGGCTTGTGGGACTTCTATTTTAGTTATTCAGGAATTGTTTCCTACCGGCAGGTGAGTGATGCACGCATGTGCATCTCTGACGAAGGGCTGACGCTCGAAATGTCAGCTTAAGAAATTTACATTATCAACTCAGTAAATAAACTAAGTTATTCCTCCCACTGACGCAGCAGCAATGTTTCTAATATTTATTTGTTTGTCAATTTATCCGCCCATTCAATCGAATTGTAAAAAAAAAATGCGAAGTGAAAGTGATAGTGACCAACCGTTAGGATTCTTTAAATAATTGATGAGAGTTTACAAAGTCCTACACGTGTTCATTGTCCGGGCCGCTCGAGTTTAGGATCTAGATTCACGTACCACGCAACACTTAACACATAACATTAAACGCTGAACGCGTAACCCTTACTACTTAACGCTTCACGCTTTACACGTGAGCACGTAACACGGAATTAAGTAACACGTACCATATAACTTTTTTAATGAGTATTGACGTAACACGTTCTTGACGTATCTCGGCAGAGCCACCGCTGAGTATGTCCGATACGCGTTTTCTGTGGTACCAGGCGCTGCGTCATTACTGGGTTTCTTAGCTGTGGTTGCTTTCCTTCCGGCCACCATGAAGTGTAAGAAAGTAGGTAAGTCAAGTAAATGGCACACGATTTACTCAGTAATTGGAAGAGATTGGAGTATATGAGTAGCCATAAGTTGCAGGCAGAGTCACTGTCTGGTATTCCTGGCCAAAACACGTAACTCTCACAGTATTTATCTCCACTCAAGAGTATAATTGGGTAGCGACGAATTGTCAGGGAGGCCTAATGAAGCGCTGGGGGTAGCCTGGCGGTAAACTGGCATCCTGTCAGGGAGGGAGTTAAAATACTTCTGGTCACTTAATGCTGTAGAAATCACGATAAACTCCAGCTGCATGGGCCACCACTGCTCGAGTACAGTTACAATGGGCTACTACAAGAGAAAACGATAGGACTTCCTGTTACTGTAAACAACATTTAGTCGTCACCACAACATGCTTGAATAAGAGTCCAGGTGTTTCTTCATATAAATTTCTTCAGACTCGGCTGCTTTCTATCCCCTCTTGACCCAGTAAGAGCTCTTACTAATACGACCAACCAAAGAACACTTGTCGGCATACCAGGTTTTTTTTTTGTTGTCATGGATAATTACTTTTTCTGGGCATCCCGTAAGAGATTAATGGGACCTTGCTGGGGTTCACCACGTCCTCTACATTTCCTGAAAGTCCTGAAAAGTCTTCCTTCCAAAAACATCACCCGATGTACCTATTTTGCGCCAATCTGAATTTCTTTATCTCCAGAGATAGGATAATTCCGTTACACTTTTAGTAATATTTTGAATGCACCTTACTCCTTCTAGTTCACACCGCCGACTGTTCAGTTCAGACAGAAGACATTACAAAAATCTCTCATACTTACGAAAACCGCGCTGTAATGGATGATGTTGATGGGGACCACAAAGAGAACGAATTTGTTACAGATGACGGCGATAAAGCAGCTCGTGCTGTCTGTTAAGAGGCAGAGGATGAAGGAAAATGAGAAGAGAGAAGGGAAAGAAATGATAGCTCTTGCAAAATTTAATAAAAAGCGTCTGCGTCTCCCTGGTTCTTAACTTTGAACTTATATTAGTATAAAGCAAGGTTCAATAGCCTTTCTAAGTTGGAAGTAATTTTACTCTCTAATTTAGTCTTGCTCAGTCCTTGCTATACTAAAACACTTTTTCCAGGTCAGCTCTTGAAGGCTTAGAAGGAATATAACGGTATATTCCAAATAAATCGCTATTATCTAAATAGGCTGTCTCGTTGTAAATATGAAATAGCTGTATGTAAATAAAGAACCCGGCTATTAAGAAGATTTTTTCTTTTTGTCTAAGGTTACTTCCCACCTTCAGAGGCCGAAAAAAATTTATTTTTCTTTTATTTGACTACACAGAATTCAAACATTCAACCTAACATTTGCATAAAAACATTTTCCGAAATCTTTAAAAAGCACCCGAGTTATTAAGAAAAACGTATTTTCATATAAAAGTTAGTAAATCAGGAAGGCGTCATAATCTGGGACGTGGGCGAATCCCCTGGGGATTTTTCGCGGCAGCCGCTTATGGTGAGGCTCGATTTTCATGTTATTTCCATATTTTGTTTACATCGTGCACTTTACAAAATTCACACGTGGAATCTCTTTGGAAAAATCTTTGCTCGTGGAAAAATCTTCGCTCGTGGAAAAATCAAAAGTGGAAGGAAAAAAAAAAAAAAAACAAGAAAGAAAGTACCATTTTGTCAAGAAAAGAAAAGAAAAGAAAATCTTTTGAGAAAGCGACTGGTACTAGCGGAGCTCCACGCTGGCATCCAGATTTCGAACAGAGAAGTCGCCGTCAAACCAAAAATTGCTATACATGATGTTGAAAACGAGGTTTCCTTTTTCTGTATGCAAGTACCAGCCAGTACAAAAATATTAACAATCTATATTTCCTCGAATCGTAATTTTGAAAGCTGTATGACGATTCGTTGTCTCGCTCCTCAGCACATTTTCCGGTTTTCCATTTTTGCCGTTGGTTTTTCCTTTGCTTTTGGCAACTTTGCTAATTATTGTATCGTCCTCCTCAACGCTCTTTAAGCCATCGAGATAACAAAATAAACGTGTCTGCGATGGGCTACTTTTCCCGGGAAATCTTGATCCATCGTAAATGACGCCGGCAGGTCCCTTGTCCTATTGGTTTGCGGTTTCAGGAGGCGAGATGATCTCATGGCGTGGCGCTTGTTGTTTGCGAACCTTTATGAGCTAAAATCTCGCATTTGATTTTTAGAGGATTACAACCGCTTTGAGCGAATTTATAGGGTATATCGATTTGACCGATTTTCGTCAAATTTCGCCAAAACACAAAAGAAAGTGTGTATTTTGATATTTGAAATATTTGTCCCGTGGCGTCCATTTACGCAACACGCCTCGCATATTTTTAGCTACTCCAACTTTAGATTCCGATATCTAGACAACCAATCAGAATATCGAAGAAGCCCGACCTACTTTGGTTGATTGAAGCTTTGTGAATAAGACTGCGTAGCCATTTTGCTCGTGCTGCGGCATCCATTACCCGATAAATTCAATAGAAGAACCTTCGGTCGTATCACGCCTTACCGGCTCTTGACACTTCCTTAAAAGAAATGCCGCTCTTTCTTCTGATATATAGTTTGCTAGGATTTTAATGAAACTAGCGCGCGTACGAATTTTTTCCCGAAGGACATCCGCGAAGGTGGATGGAATCATGTTGTGACCTTTGCGGACCTCATAAGCCTTTCCCTCTGAAGGGCTCTGCCTGTCGGAAGACGAACACGCTTCGCCACGCCCCTAGCCTCTGAGGGGCTCCCTGTGTGGAGACAGACTCATTCACGGAAAATAGATAACCTTTGCCCGCACGGATTAGATAAGTGATCCCATGAAAGATACAAATTGACCAATGTTCTCAGTTCGAGACGGAGGATTATGTTAAGTAACGCTTTACTCTGAAGTGCACAAATAGTCTAGAAGTTATAAGTTGCAATGCTTAATGTGATTCGACCTTGGAGAAAATGTTTTTTGAATTTTAAGCTTTAATCAACAAAGGAGTTAGCCACTGTTTACTCATATCTCTATACCGTCACTATGGACGAGTTTGTTCCTTTGGGTAACATTTTTTTGTTATTTAAAGAATCAAACCATTAGTTTGACTGACAAAGTCATTGCAAAAAGTGCTTGTTTAGTTAATAATAATAATAATAATAGTAATAATAATAATACAAACATCTCTATTCTAGAACTCTAACACGTTTTACAATAAAATGTTTAAAAGCAGTAACTCAGTGAATAATAACTTCAAAAAATACCAGAGCAAAACTACAAATTAATTAGTTTCATTTAAAGATAATAGTTAGGTCAAGTTCAGCTGTTTATGCATCATATGAATTGCCTCTAAAAGGAAGGGGCAATGAGTTTCTTTCCTTACATCGTTTCGATTCCCTTGTTTCGTTCCAGTTACATTGCAGACCAGTTGCATCAACCTCGCAGTGCTCAAATTGCTTCCAACACCTCGATAGAAGCGTCCATTGATACAAGTACGGAGTCTGGGTCGCTCTCTTCTCACATCCGGGTAACTTTTTGCGACATTCCAAGTCAGATTCACCACATGGCCTGATCTGACATTGACGGCATCCGGCCTCATAGTACCCCCGAAGGTTTGCTTTTTTTCGTGGAGTCACTGTGTCCCAGTCCTCTCGCAGAAAGGAGAATTTCGTAAACAGCCTCCCGCCGTGCAGAATATCCCCAAACAAGAGGTACTCGACTCCCGTTCTGATCCCAAATGGTCCGGTCACTTTATCAGAGGTCCTGCCGTCGGGGCTGTAAAGTTTCGTCTTGAATTCTGTTTCCAGCAAACCGAAGGCCTTACCTTGACGTCCGAGCGACAACCCTTTGAAAATTTCTTTAATGGTTATCTTGAAAACAAAATAGTTACCCTCTGTTTCAGGTCCCGAATCGATGTGGGCACGTATCACTGTAAAATAATAATAATGATAATAAAAATTAGATGATATCAATAATAATAATTAGATAATGAAAAAATACCGGTAACGTCAATAAACAATGGCATTTCCGACACTTGACACTTTCCTTTGTCTCTCTCTCTCTCCTTTTTTTTTTTTTTTCTCTAAACCCATTGAAAAACGTGAAAACTTACACGCACAATCCGAAGTCAAATGTTTTTTCTTTTACCATCCTGGAACATGCACATAAATGTCCAAATTCAATCTAACCAGGACAGTTTCAAGTTGTGCTTTCTCTCAGTTGCGAACTTTTTGATCTACAACTCTAAGTTGCAACTTGTTAAAAGCATTATGATTTCTAAGGATCTTCAAAAATTCTATGAACTCACCGAAATCCGCTTTACAAAAAGCTAGTTGGGGATGTTCCGACTGAATGATACCTCCATAACAAGATGCAATCAAACATAACATCACTATGAGACGCGGGTGAACTTCCATGGCTTCTAATTTCTGTTTTGACTTTCGCCTGTTGAAGTTCTTGAATCACCTTTGGCTGATTGAGAAAAGCGACGGTTCGTCTATATTTATATCCTGTGTAACTGGGAGTTGGGTGGGCGGATTCCGTGAGGAATTTAAAGTGGACACGAAAATATCATAACTCGAAATACAAATGTTGACTGTTACCCGACTTCCGCCGAACATTCTAGGTTGGGACAAGCCCTCCACTTGGATGGAGACAATTTACACCTTAAGCGACGCGCTCATACGGATTTCAGTGCCTCTTTAGACTGGTAAAAATTTTACGGAAGTTATTCAAGCAATTTATCCAAGACGGATATCTTGATTAACACAGATTGTTTTCTCGAAAGAAAGAAAGAAAAAACCAAGATGAATTCATCTGCTGTTATATGCTAAAGGCTTAGCTACTACGGCGTATGGAGTTACGAAGTCATGAAGGTCAAGTTCACAGAAATGCCAGATATTTTTGTAAGTTTGATATTTTTAAACGTGTAAGCCAAAGGAAAAAAGATCGTTCTCCCCAATGCTTTCGTTTGGCAGAAGTTTCTTAGGGTTTACGAAGTCACGCACGTGCCAAATGGTAAAATGAATTAGAATTTCAGTAGGAAGTCACGTCCTTTCCCAACCACTTAAAGAAACAAAAAACGAAAAAGACCCAATTTCATTTGAAGAGAGGTTTTTTATAGAGAAACATTGAAACAGTCTTGTCATGTTTTCATTTAGTTATACTCAGCTCTGAGTGTGTTAAGGGGTTTCTCTTGGTGTTTTGTCAACAAAACGTGCCATATACCCGCCTACTTTCCTACGTAAAAACAGTCTACGTCTTTGGACTCTAGGATTCTTTTACGAGCAGAATAAATTAAAGGTAAGCGAAGGCACGTTCGGATCGGAGCCAACTGGTATTCCGTGTTTTTGCTGATTTTTTTAAAGCTTATAAATAGGCTGTTATATAGGTTTTAAATTAAAGATTTGTCTGACAGCTTTATGTTTTATTCACGTCCGCTTATTCCATATTTGACCACAATTCAGTTACAAGCAAGCCCCAATTATTTTTATTCTGAAACCCGTTTCCCGCCTACAACAACCACAAAAGCCACTTGAGGGTTGTCTGGCCCGTATTGAATTGCAAACAGACGGAATAACGCACTTCTCTTCAAGTAGAAAAGAGCTATTGGCGGTCAGCAAAACAAATAATTGACGTAGCTTTTGTAACTCGATAACACTAACTGTTGCCTCAGTAATAGAGATTTCATAGCACTTGAGGCTGTGAGACGAATCATTTTGGCTGCCACAAGTTTGCGAAATCCTTTAGGCGTAAACAAGAAAAAAAAATCCCAATTCTAGGTCTTTATGAATTAATATGCATATGGCACTTGTGTTAGTAACCAGCTGACCGCCAATCTATACAGAGACCGGGTCATGAAGTCTGGGTTCGAGACCTGGCCGAATCCATGGGCGAGACTTTTTACGCAAAGCGCCTCTCTCCACCCGCGTGTGTTAATGGGAGCCAAGGAACTGTTTCGGAAATGCTGGGGTGCAACCTTGCAATAAAATGGCATCCCCTTCATATTCTTAGTGGCTTCATGTTATAGAAACTGATTACCGCCTGGATGGGTCACTTTATTCTAACCCAGAATAAAACCCGGACCTTTAAATAAATATCCTTACTTGACCCTAATTTCACACTCTTCGAGATTAAATAATGGCCAATATATCAGTGTTTGGCTCCATTGAGAACAAATCCGTTTCAAAAGACGGCGATAGACCTCATTGCAAAGGAGGAGG